AAAGATCTTCCTCGCAACGTACGATGCTGCCGCAAGCCGATTTAGTCCGAAGGTATCCGGAAGGTCAAGCATCAAATCGTCAAGCTGCTTTAAAACCTGCCTCTTGGCGCCTGTAAATGTCACGCCATAAACATTGGTCATGACTGTTTGTTTGACGACCTTTCTGGTCACTCTACCATCCAACTGTCGTGCCAACCCGTCGCCCTGCGCTGCCTCGTCCGCAATCTCTGCTTTGACCATTTCGGCCACAGTGGTGTATATGTCGGACGGTCGATCACCAGGCTCAAGGTTCACCTGCTGGGCACCAACGACATCACCTCCAAGCGCTGCATAATGTTGAAGACCATTGCAAGTACCGTCTTGGTGTATTGCAAGATGGCAGACGTAACGGGTGGGGTCGGGCAAGTCCAAAGCAGCTTTCAATTCATTGCAGGCCGCAAGGCACTGCCAAGGATCCTCAGCTTTCAACCACCATCTGTTGCCGTCCAAAGGGTTGTTGACAGAATCATATATTTCAGGCAAATGGTTCTCGGTGAACCGCAGTCTCTCCTCGAAGCTAGCCTTGTCGTATCCATGCACGTTGGCGAGATGTATTTTGAGCCACCAGAGCCCAGAGTCGGTGAGCTCTTTGCCCTTCGCGAAAAGCAGAAGGCCTCGCGCATTATCAGCCCCCATATGATTCAAAAAGGGAGCCATAGGATATGCACGCCCACGGAAGTCACAGTTGTGTGGAAAATAGAACGTTTCGTTCAAGTACGCCCGAGCGACTTCAAGCTGGAAATTTTGAAAACACCTTTGACTCTTGAGCCCTGACCTCTGGTTCTCAGCATCCCGTACGGCCCTCATCCATTTTTGTCGGACCTTAGGCTCAGCTGACGGTGGTGGCTCACGAGGTTTGTCAGTTGGTTGGTTTGCGGGAGGAATCTTAGCAATTGCCTCTCCAGTATTCCATGCATCAAGCATGACCTTGAAAACGAAAGAGTTGACTTTCCACTGTGTTTTCGCCAGTACGTCAAGGCCTGCAAAAACCTGAGACATGTCTCCGTTTTCCGCTGCAGTGATAGCATACCGTTTCGACTGCACGTCATGTGAACCGATGCGCACTACAGGTATCGAATGCTCATAGAAACCTCCTTCGCGGAATCCAATCCATGATTTGGGTTCGGCGACCATTGGTAGGTATTTGGCTATTGCTGAGGTCACAGGAGCCTTCGCCAACGTTTCTAGTACGGCCGTGTTGAGCCGGACGACACCCACGCGCTTCCCACCCACGTATTGAAACGTGTGAAAGAAAACTGGCTGCGTCTCTCGCAGCTCTATACCGGTCTTGGGATCTTTGCGAGACACCTGTACCTTGGCGATGTCCATTAGATGAGAGAGGAGTACTGCACCGACCTTGACCTTTATTGTTTGTGTCCACTCCATACTATCATAGAGGCTTGATGCCCGGCCCCGGAGGATATTCTGTAGCTTTCCATCAGATATTCCCGGGCCTGTGCTATCAAGTTCCCTGATCCCCTCTGCCAGGTTTGACTCACGCCACTTCTTTCTCTTTTTCTTATGCCCATAATGTTCAGCAACGCTTTCGGCCTGAATAGCACTCCCGATGCCTGTAACAACATGGTGGATTCTCAGGCCTCGTTCATCGACACTTTCCGTACTGAGAATCGTCAGAGTAGCCAAAATGGCGACTGCCGAGAGCTTCTCTGGCGACAGGAATTGCATGAAGGGACCCCAGAGTAGAAGATCCTCATCGGCCTTCTTCTTCGTTTCCCTTCCTTCGGCTTCTTTCGTTTTTTTCACATCCTCCTCGATCAACGGGACCAAAGCCTCGTGCCATTTCCACATCATGGCACCAATCGAAGATGACGCCAGACTGCTATTGATACCTATGCCCTTCAGATGTTTATCTTCTGCACGCCAGCGATCCATGGCAGCCGTGATCGTGTTGTTTTCCAGTAGCCTCTGGCGCTCCTCGGCAGACAATTCACCATCAGTAACCTCTCTGCCACTGAACAAGTCTGCACCTTTGTCTCCGAACAGCTCTAATGATTTCTTGAGCGTTGAAAGACCCGAGCCCTTTTGTTCCGTTGCCTTAACAGCTTGTATTTCACCTGCAGGCTTAGCGAAGGCTCTTCCCCCTGCTCCACGTTCTTGCTGGTCGAGCTTGGTCAGGCCGGTCACTTGTGCGTCCGCATGTTCCTGGAGGCGCGAAGCAGAAACCTAGGTCTGGGATTAGCAACCAAATTTAGAATAATGCGCATCTGCATACTGGAGAGTAGTCTTCGACATCAAACTCCCAAAGAGCATTGGTTTCGGCACCAAATCCAGCTTCATCAGCCAATTTCTGGTATCTTCTCATCGCACGTTCTCTGCTTGCACCCGACGACTGGCAACTGGCTCTGATCATTTGAGCATAAATTTCTGCATTTGGGATGACCCCAACGCGCTTTAAATCCACTTCGAACCATCTCTGTAGGTCTTTGAGAAGCTGCTGATCCTTTGTCTGTACAACCTTGTTTGTGAGCTCCTTCACATAGTCGGAATGTGCAGCAAGTAGTCCGGCAGCATCTGGACTGTAGATCTGGTTGAGCCTTCGCAAGAGAGCCGCAGCTCGCTCGAGACGGCCCACTTGGAGGCAGGCATGTAGGTTCTGATGGAGCTCATTGAGGTCGCCGGTTATGGAGTCTTTAACACGAAACCTCTTGGGGTGTGTGGTAAGTGTATCTTTGATGATGAGCAGTGAGGTATTCGGATCAAAGTGGCGAAGGGCAGAGATGCCGGTTCCGTCAACCCTAGGCTGGTAGTTGAAATTGGCGACCGAAGGTTCAGCCCAAGGAACATATGAGTCATGTTCAGGTTCATACTGGACGGCGGTGGCAGCTGAGGCGAGCCTTCTACGGTGTGAAGGGGTCCTGGATATCGGATGTCTGCAACTCCTCGCGTTTGACCGTTCCAGGTTGGGCTTTGAGGAGGCGGCCCGGACGGTTGGCGAGTGAATGGGGGCGCCATTTAATTGTCCAAATAAAGCGGGGCATAGGAAAGGGAGATGTAGAAGCTCGAGGCTGGAAGTGGATTGCCTGTACGCATCGCGATACAACGTGCGTTTTGAGGCTCGTACAAACATGCTCCGGGGGCTCAGATATACGGGTGGATTAGCCAGGCGTGGCACAGCTGCCACCAAACATAGGAGTGAAGGGATATAGCGAAATTTTTTGAGAGAGAAAGATCTTTTGCGTCTGGCGTGCTGGATATCATCAAAGGAGTTTGGGAAGACTTTTTTTTAACAGGGATCCCAGATCTGAGCTAGTTACATCTGAGCTAGGGTAGTTTGGAAACAATCTAAGGTAGCTCCAAATAAATTTCCGCCACATTCTGCATGCATGTCTCACATACAATGGCTACAGTGGTGGGCCCACGTTTGCATTACTTTGGCTAATGTATACAACAACAAGTCGAAAATGACGGAAGACCCAGCGTAGATCGGCTCGATGCCCTTTATTTCTCTCCTCCCCACGCAAAGCGTCGCGGAAAGGTTGCGACAGTGTCGTGGAGTCAGAACAAAATATGAATCCTTTGTTTAAAACACATTAGTTATTGACAATGTGATTATGTGAAATAAAGTTCAACTACTGTATTGTCTTCTCCTTTGTTCTGGTCTTTGAATGTTGTCATGTACTCCCTCATCGCTCTATATCATGCCCTCCTCTCCGAGCGACACACCATCTCCTTACTTCCTCAGGTCCGCCCCCCCCCCCCCATATCATCACTTACACCCATTCCAATCCGTACTAATCGAGGAGGAGCCATCAAATCTCGAACAGAAGACCATGGCGACTGCATTCACCAACTCGGAGATGAAAGCGAGTCTGCTACAAATCATCAACGAGCGAAACCAGCTCAGAGTGGAGCTCATGCACGCCAAGTCAGCAATCATTGAACTCGAAAACCAAAATTTGGAGTATGACCGTTTACTCTCAAATGCGCTTTCGCACCTTCAGGCCTACGAACCAAAACCAACAGTGACCGCTACTCCAAAAACCAGCTGGATAGGAACCTGGCAATGCTCCTCGGATTACCCTCAGCTCGCCCCAATCGAAAAGGCTTGGGCGAATGGCTGGCTCCAGAAAGCTCTCAACCAGATCCCTGCCATGCTAGATCGGGAAGATCTGGGGCCTCATCACCTCATCAATTCCAGGCTTCTATACTCGGCACTGCTTCAATCTACTGGTGCTAATCTACAGCAAGCGCTAGCTAACGCTGAGGAAGCTGTCACTATGGCGGTAGATCTTCGCCTGCAAGAGCTAGCTGCAAAGGGGCAATTTCATCGTGCGCTATGCTATCATTACTTAGGGGAGTTCGCTAACGCCAGGTGGTAAGTTGTAACTGGATTTTGCTTTCTCAAAGAAGCCATGCTGACTCCGAAAAGGTGCTTCGTTTTAAGTTCGTCCGTCAACGAGAGTACCAAGGAATGTCGCCAAAAGGCCGAAGAGAACCTTCGAGGGCTGCCCGAGGGCCATTCGCAGCGATCTGTTTCTGCGGATTTCAAGTTCTATTGCGACTCAAATGTAGATGAATTTGTACGCAGTGTGTAGCAAGCATGAGTCAAGGCAAGCTCTTGCTGCAGTTGGGTTGAAGGGTAGGTTTTGAAGCTTGTCGAAATCACAAGCATTCCAGGCTTTCAATGAACTTGTTTATAGCTAGAGTAAGACTGGTCTGAAAATATGTCATCCCTCAACAGCTTCACTTGCAATTCACCTTGACAGTATCTCTTTTGTCTTCATGATCCTGTTTTGAACTGCTCTAAGCATGAGTCCTGTTTGCGGAAATCTCATGGTCAAGTCTTTCATTGGACTTTGTTCACAATTCTTTGACCTGGCGTGCTACATGTCCCTTCTCCGTCCACCTACATTCTCACACAGAGAGAATCTTCAAAGGTTGCAACATACCAATGAGGCAGGTTAAACAGCGCTTGATCGGATCATTATCTACCTCGAGTCATGGAGAAGGAGGACACCCGATCAAGTGGGGATTGGACACCAGGTGTTCATAAAGTGCGTCTGTATTCTTTCCAGAGATATACCGCATCACACGAAAAAGAAGTACGGAATACCAGATCTACATGCAAGAAGGGCGAGACAGCTCCTGCCAGAGGAAGGAGCAGCACTATTGCTGCTGAAGCAAGGGGACATTCTGTTGAAAGACGTCATACTGTTTCTGAAGGAGTCGCAGAGGATGCGTTTGCAGAAGGTGACCAACAAGGGGATGTGCCAGAGTCCGACGACGAAGCTGAGGCGATAGTTGCGATGAGAGCGACCAAAGCAATAATACACTCATGGGCTGACAGCAAAACCAAGTGGGACGAGGGGAAGAAGAAGGCGGACTTGTATGATCTTCCGCTAATGTCACCAGCCACACTACCTCCCGCCCGCCAAGTGGCTCGAAAACGCCATAAAAGCCTCATGAAAAGCAGAACGTCCAGCGCTGATTTCACGGCCGATGGAGTCTTGACTGATCGTGGAGCTGGTTCAGAGGTCAAAGATGACCCATATCATGATTCAGAGCTCCATTCGGAGCCTGAACCGACTGAGAGCAGTGAGGATGAGGTTTATCCAAAACCAAGACTTACAAATGTCCCCAATGAGGGAGACAACAGTCAAGGTCATATTGAACAGATGAAGAGATACGCCGAGGACATCCATCAACTGAACTTAGATCCCAAAGACAAAGATCGCGATCATGACTCACGGCTCCAATCTCCAGATTCTGGAGATGCCCTTTCTAATGACAACCAAGTCATCATAAAGGATTTTGGTTCATGGAATCCATCAAAGAAACAAGAGAGCGATCATGATCTACTGCCACAATCCCTGGGATCCGACCACAGCATTGATGAGACAAGCGACCGCGAGAATCAGGCTGTGTCAGACATGGGCCAGAAACCTGACCAAACAGGAACATCGTCTAAGACTCTTCATGCTTCCCACAGCAACGAGCGCGATAGTCTTGGTTCACGAACCCAACCATCTGGATCAGAGCCCACTCTTGTTGAAATAAGTTCCATCCACGACGCGGTTGAAAGGCAAATCGACCTAGATATCAACGAAACTAAAGCACCTGATACTACCCATCCTCCTGGTAGTTCGCAACCCAAGTCTCCTGGTTCTATGGAGAATGCAAGTCGTAATTCGCACCTCAAGTCTCCTGGGAGTGACCATACTAAGAGTGCTGGTTCACAACCCACGTCTCCGGTTCGTGGGGGTGCCATCGTTGAGAGAAGTTCCACCCAGGACCAGAGCGGAGAGGATTTCGACCGCGAAATTTGGCTTAACAGCGATGCACCTCTGCAAGGAAACTACAAAGCTATACCCCGCGAGGCCCCAAGTCCCGAATCAATCAGTCCGAACTATTCGAGCAATCCAAGTAGTCGCTCAGATTCTCTTGTCATCTCCCCGACTATCCCTGTACGTCTCAATTGCTTCAAGTGACTGAGGCATTATCTAACGCAAAAGTCTAGGGTGGACAGCAGAGTCTTGGACACGAGGAGAGTCCTAGCGCTTCCACGGCCAACGCAGACATTGTGAATTTCTTGGCTAAATACAAAGCCAATTTCCCACTGATGCCCCCTTCTGGGGAACAAGCAGTCGAAGATGAGCGAGAGTCCAAAGCAGCTACAGACGGACAGAACGGGAGTTCTCAAGGCATGAATCCTCAGCGCTCGGGCACATCGAGTCCTAACACGGAGGATTCTCTTCTCCTGTCTTCTGTAGGTCAATCTCAGCTCCAAACAATCGTGCAGGCCTCTAACGTAGAATTTCAGGGGCCAGGCCATGAATCTCCCGTCAAGTCCGATCTCGAGAAGGCGAAAGAGAAAGAAGCCAGCCAAGCCGCACTCGAAATATTTGAGCTCTACAGTGCCAATTACCAAATGCAAAAAGATCTCGAGGAGAAAGAAGCCAAGTTCAAGCGAGAAATTCAAATAGCCTGGACACACCCGAGGCCTCCACCAACTACCCGAGAGCAGAAATCAGATAAGCTCGCCCTCGAGAGAATTGAATCAAAGGAGATATTTGATGAACTTGGGGAACAGCAACGACCCGTCAGGACGGACCCCCGGTGGGTCCTCCATGAAACAGAAGTCAACATGTTGCTCACCCGTGCACAAATCAATTACATCCTAGAGGATTATCCCAAGATGTATTCCCACGCTAACCACGCTGCCGTCGCTGCCGGCCCACTCAAATTCGCCCCCTTAACGGCGAGATGTTGTTATTACCGCGGAATGGCCTCCTACTATTACCGCGCATTCACCGAGGCAAAGGACGATTTCCTGGAGTCTCGAGGCTGCGCCGGGCGCTATGGAATCCTGAGTGAGAATATCGAGAGATTTATCGACAGTATAGACAAAGCAGATGATCCGGAAACGGCCGTACTCGTGCGAGTCCCAGCTCGAAAGTTCACAGAGGTCCGCACGTTCAAGCAGAGAAGAAGAGCCCGGAGCACAAATGTGGACAACAAGAATGAGCCCTTGCCATCAACCGCAGACGATGCGACGACTCTGGTTGGAGGCTCGCCAAGATCCCCCGAAGACAGAGCCATGGGGCTGGCCCCGTTCAGCTCAGCCAACGAAGAGAAGCACTCTGCTGGACCGTCCCGCGGGGACGCCAATGCCCAAAGCCAAACCTTGCACAGGCCTGATCACCTGGGTGGATTGCCACTCGATGGTGATCCGCAACCCGGTACTGAAGATGTTCCAAACTACAAACCCCAGGAGGAAGCCATCTCAGAAGAGATCCGCAAGGACATTTTCGAGAGCAAAGCCCAGAGCTTGAACCCTGTCAGTGAGGCAGGTCCAACAGAAGCAAATCCCCAAGAGAGGGCAACATTGTCTCCACCGTCTATGGCGAGTACTGAGCGGACTTTGCTCGGAAGCAACACCACTCAGGAAACCACGAGGCGTGTGCCTCGGCCGCACGTTGCTCCCATAACCACGTCATTCGCAACCGCGAGAAACAACACCGCAGGAGAGGCTTCGGCGGAGGCCACCCCTGCTTCAGGTTACACGGATGAGGGGAATTCGGCTGAAATATATGCGGCATTTGGTGGAAAGCCTCGAGAGGACGCTACTCCAAATACTGCAGAATCATCAAATGTATCGAATTTCGGATGGTGAATGTGGACTCTCGGTAAGCATAGCCAGACAGATGTATGGACAATAACCAAGGCGCTGGCACAAGTGCGGATAAATCTTTCGCATTAAACCTGAATTTACGTACGGGCTTTTTTTCTTTTGAAGGTCGTACACAAAGTTTACTTCGGTATCATCCTGCACATGAAAAGGCTCAGTGACTTTAACAATGCATTTCGAGATTCTCTAATCATACGCTGGAGACCATGTTGAGATGGTTGCAATGATGGTGTTGAACAAGGAAAGGTAGGACGCTTGGAAGCACGACTTGACAACCTCGATCGTTGACATAGCCCCTCCGAATCACACTCGCATGACTTCTGCCTTTTGTACTCAGACTTGTCTCTATACGAGTACAGTGATCAGCTCCTTTCGAAAAAAACCAAACGACACCCGATTTGCAGGATTCGTATTTCTCACCCGGAGCAGCCTTTTTGCCTGTGAGAACCGACCCACTTGGGTCGGCGCTTGGCGAAAATGATCTCTTAGTACCTCTCTTAGTACTTTTAAGAAAGTGAACCCCTTTTGGAGTTTCCTTGCCTTCAAGGAATTGCTCGTAGAGCAAGAGGGCAGCAATGCCCTAGACCCGAGGCTTCGGGTTTCGAAACCCACGTCTTTGGAGACGTTACTGCTTTGCACAGCAAGTTCTGAGATCACAGAACTATCCCAATATCTGGGATGCCCCCACTCCCCTCTGGCTTATCAGCCCTTCCTGCCCTCTTTCAGAGGAAGGAAGATATTTCTCCAAAGATCGCTCGCATCACCAAGGCAATAGGTGAGACTGACGTCTGCCATGCTGGCTTCTGGACCACCAGCCATGGCCTCTAATTGCGAGATGATATTTTCGAGGCCGAAAGCTTTGCCGACTGCTTGTGTGCTTGTGGCTTCGCACATAACGTGAATAACGTGAATGTGGAAATGGTAGTAGGTGGGCTGATCTGTATCTGGTCAGCCGCATGAGGCAAGAAGCTTCAACTAGGACGAGCATACAGTGGATATAAAGCTTCAGCATATCCTTCTCCAGCTCTGGGTACAGCTCGATTGTAGCGTCCAGGATCCTCTCTCTCATGTGCTTTATCCAATCCACATGGCTCTTTTTGAGATCTCGCAAGCTCCAGAAATCTCGTCTCTCCACCAAGACGAGTAGATGCAGGCTCGCGAGAGTTTTCTTGTCCCAGTTCAGATCCGGTGTCAGAAGAAAAGCTTCCTCTCGAGAGGAGCCTTGCCCTGGGTCTCGGAGCAAAATATCTTCTTGCTCTTTCCTCCCTTCGATGATATTGAAGACCCAATTCAAGCGTCCTTCGTCCCTCATTCGCTGCATGTATGGTCGCACATGCTGCTGGTAGATCGTCGGCGTCTCAGTGACCATGCGGACGGTCTGTGGGGAGTACTTCTTGATGTGCTTGTCTGTACATGGATAGATGAGATTGATCTTTAGATCGGCAGGAGCCTCTTTCGTCACACCAGAAGATGCAAGATACCATCGGTAGATATCATTCTCGCCCAAATTGTCAATACTCGTAATGGCAGCGTGGAATGCTTCGAGCGTATCGATATTGCTGGGAAACGCTGCCCTTTCCGCAGTGAGCAACGCAGGGGAGCCATTGATCGTACCAAGTAGATTCACGCGACGGCCACCTTGATCTAATTAACATGTTGTCAGCCAGAAACGTTGGACTCAAGGACAAATGTAGAGGACCTTGGTTGAGAAGTTTATCCACCCGAAAATGTCGGACTAAGTCAGCAGCGGTTGGCGCTTCCATATTGTTGATACCGACTGATATTTGCCCACGACACTCTCAATCGCTTTTTTTTACCCGGAGCATATATGAGTATCACTTTCTCAACACCCAGGAATTGCTCAAGGAGGGGAACTCCTTACATGAGTGCACCCTCAGAACCTCACCTGCCTCTCGCTTAGAACACCGTAGATTTGGTGCTTATCGATAAGACCTTGTCCGAAACCGCGTCCCTCCCGCGCCGTCGATCCCACATCAGAAGCATCATTCACCCTCTATTTGCTTCTCACTCCATCGCGCTGAATCATCTATAGTCATGGCTAGGACGCTGCCCTGGCTCAAGAGTGGAACGACAACCAACCTCCAGCCCGCCCGTTTAAAGCCTGCCAAGCGGCAGCGAATGCTGGATCCTAACTCTGACTCTGACTCTGCCGACAATGTCAACCCTCGCGCTGTAACAACGCCCAAGAAGCAAGCTGCTCCTGCAGCAGGTAAGCCCCGTCAGATCTTCTGTAGCTACACTGATTAACAACACTACCAGAGCGAACGCCATCCACCTCGCCTCCACCGCAACCCCCAACTGAAGAATTCATGCGCCCCGGCCTCTCAGCAGACGACATCTACATCATGGTCGAAGACGAGTTCCACGCGGTCGCTCAAACATTCACCAAGCACCTCCACCATGCGGAGTATATCCGTCTGAGAAATGCTGTCAGGGATCGAAACGCACCTACAATCAATAACATCTCCCGCCCCGTCGACTCGATCACTACCATGCGCGAAGAGACTCGTAGAAAGAAGGAAGCCGAAGCAAGGGAAGCGAAAATGAAGGCCGCGATAGAGAGTATCAAGGTTCCGAAGGGAGCGATAGGCCCGTTGGACGAAAGCGACATTAGCGATTTTGAGGAGGATAGGCAGGATGATCCGTGGCAAGGGACACAGTTGCAGCATTTCATAACTACGAGTCCAAAAAAGAATCTCACAGGTTTGACTGGCCTGCAAGGAGTCATATCGCACACCCGAGCAGCGGCTGGATATTCAAAGCCAGAGAAGCGGCCTTCGCAACCTACCAAGCTATTCGAACCCGCGCGTCCTAATGCCAGTGCATCAAAAACAATCTTCGCTCCAGCGGCCGGCAATGCAACATCAGACACAGACGACGATGACCTCGATGCTCCTTCCCGTCTCCCTCCTCGTCCGCCCACGCGTATACCATCCCGGCCTCCAACAACCGCCGCCAAACCCACCCCTTTACCAACAAGCAGAGATCCACCCCACCGACAGCCGAAAAGAAGAGCTCCTACACCACCTCCCGCAAAACCCTTTCAAAGATCTTTCCTCGACTTGACACCGCGCGCCCCCCCCGCTTCAATACCCCTATCCTCAAAGGCTTCAAGGAGACCTATTCCGCCAGATCCATCTCCACCTGTCAGACCCGAACCGTTGCAGGAACCCCGCTCATCTTTATCGGATGTGAGGCAGCGGCTGAAAGTTCGGCGGGAACGCGAGGAAAGGGAGAGGAAGAGGTCCGGCAGTGGAATAGGGGTTGACGACATACCTGTATTTCTTGTATGATTGATGCAGCATTTTGGATAGATTTAGATACCCAATCAAATCACATTCAGCTGTATCTTCTTTCCAATACTATGAGTTACCAACGCATCACTCTTAGAAGTCCTTTAGGAAGTATCATCTCAACCGATCATCGCTACACCGAACGCGAATCATCTGAAAAGTGGTAGAAGAATCGAAAGGAGTACCGAAAGACCGAAAAACCGTAAAAAAAGCCGCATTCCACATCACCCCCATCCTTCAAACCAGGCCATCTGCCCATGAAAACCGTAAAAACCATGCCGCAACACCGAAGATGTACCCTACCCTACCCTACCCTACCCTCCTTGCACATCCGTCCAACACCTCCAAGCGAGACAACAGATCTCCAATCCCGCATCGTCCATAAACCCCGCCGTGTGTATACGATGAAGAAAGGGGAGATCTCCGGGACGATCTGGAAAGACGTGTGGGAAGGTGTGGATCGAAGGGAGGATGCTGCTGCTTATTATTGCGACGGTTGCCAGGAAAGACCTGTGAGAGTTTGCGAAACCCGGGGGAAAAGTCGTCTGAATCGAAGGAAATATACAGTCGCTCGTCGTTCGTTCTGGTGACTGTCGGTAAAAAAAAAAAAAAAAAAGGCCTTCAGGTTGTGAACCGATGTGAAAAAATCGTGAATGGATGTGAATATCCCGGTCCTCCGTCTCCGCCATCCTCCCCGAAAAACAGACCTCACAGCCCCCTCTTCACCGCGGCCGCGAAGCTCTTCCCCCCAGCGAACTTTTTGGCGTGGACGTTGAGGGCGGCCTTCTCCCTCAGCGCTACCGCCGGGCCACCTTTCGCCCATATCTTCCCCTTTGCTCCTCGCCGCAGCGTTTTCCACTCGTCTTGCTCGTCGTGGATAGCCAACGTCTTGACGATGGGCTTGGCCGGGATCTTGAGCACCGATTTGACGAGGGGCGGGTCCGCTTTCTTGGCCTCTTCGCAGGGGGCGGGGGTTTCGTGGTTGAGCGCTCCGAAGCGGTTGAGGACGTCTGGGGTGTCTCTGTTCGGAGTTGCCGGTGCCAAGAGAACTCTGATCGGTTGTGGAGCACGTGGTGTATCCTGAAAAGGCGGCGGGACTTTTCGAATCGCTTTCGCGAAGACGCGGGTGTCTTTGACACCCAAGAAGCCTTTCTCGTGTTTGGGGTTGGAAGTCATGGGTGAGAGAGGACTTCTAGGTGTAGGACTACCAAGGACCTGAGAGCCTTCCTTGGTGTGGTTTCCAGACTCATCAAGAAGCGCCTCCCAATCGTCATTGCTGGAAAGTGGTGATAGAACCTTGAAGCTCAGAGTTTGACCGGGAAGGCGTCCAGGACTGAAGGAAAATTTGGGGATAGGGGTATTCGTGATGCAGTCTCTGGTTGATTCGTCGATCTCCTGATCCAGCTTCGTGTCGCGGTCTGCATGCGACTGCTTCGTAAGTGTACCGCTCCTGCCCACCTCCCCATTGCTGTTCGATCTGTCAGAGAGAGGAGTCAGAGAAAGCCCCGTCTGGTCAGCAGGGAGCTCGAAATCTGGGTCATCCCAGTTCTCAGGAATCTGTCCTCCCGTCTCTCTAACTAGGTTGCTAGCTTCTTCTGCGTTCTCATCCTCCTCTTCGACAACATCCAGCTCGACTTCTTCCCTGATCTCAGGCAGTTTCTCACCAGTGGCCCAGTCCCAGAGCTGGTTGTTCCGGACCATTTCATTATAAATGCGCCTGTTGGCGTAACGCCAGTAGCCGGCCATGCGCTGCATAGTCTCCACTTGGTCATTTTCGAAAGCCACAAGGTCTCCAAGAATTGCAGCGCGAAGTCTGGCATCGAGAGACTTGCGTCCTTTGCTCGCTTTCGAGAGATTGGTATCAATACCGAGGCTGGTAAAGATGGGGCTGAGGATCTTGTTGTCTTGTTGAGGGGTACTGGGCTTTTGCTTGCTGTCATTGCTTTTGGCTATCTTCTTCACGTGTAGACCTAGTTGTAGCTTACTCCATTTAAAGGTGCTTGCGTTGAACCCGATGTTCTCGTCAATCGTGCGGTTGTCCGCTAGTCCTTGACTCTTGGAGACTGCGCTGGCTTGATGCTCGGACTCAGGATGCAAAGCTTTCTCGACTGTAGCCAATTCCTCCTGGGTTGTGACGTCGAAGAGGACTTGATGTTTTGCTGCCTTCCGTTCGGCCTTTGCTGCTTTGCGGGCATCAGCATTCTCCATGATCCCGGACCAGCACTGCTTCCTTTCCTTGGCGTCATCATCGTCATCATTATTGAGAGTGCTTGAGTTGCTATCCCATTCGACGTCTCGCTCTGGATCAACTCCACCAACATGCTCACTTCCATCATTTGAATGGTCAAGGTTCGAGTCGTCTCTCTTCTTGCCTTTCCTTTTGTTGTTGTAGAGTGGACTTTCTGTGCTAGGGCTCCCTTCTAGACGGCGAATGGCCTTTATGATTTCAGAAATCTCAAGGTGGCGTTTGCTATGAGCTTCGATGGTATTTAAGCAACTAGATAGATGTTATTGAAGCTCCTCCCAAAATCAGGACTCTCCTAATACATACGCTACACACCGGTGACTCGCACCGACAAAATGAAGCGTCTTGTGATATGCAGGACAAACCTCTTCGTGAATCCCGAAACACGTTCTTTTGGCGCGTGGTCTAACGATGTGAGCTTTGCTTTTTGGATAGGCGGAAGAATTAGCTTACGACGACAACACAGTTGCGCAGGTTCCACATTTGTGTTCTGGATGACATGCGTCAGTACAAATCTCGGATCATTATCGGGGTAAAGCCTTGTGATCATACCCAGTCCGTGATTGTGATCCTATAAATCCGCGATGTCAGTAAAAGAGATTTTTGATCAACCAACACAACCGTGACATGTTCACGCACCTCCCACTTGTAAAACGTCCCCACAGTCATCTTGATATTGTGAATGAGACTGGACGGTTCCTAGATTCTTATGAAGGTTGCTGAATTTAAAGACCTTATCGAAAGGTATGTGTGCGAGGGTGCAGGCGAGGAGATTGTGGTTGGAAAATTTGTTGCGGCAGAAGTTGAAGCAGAGCACTGTTTTAAACGTAGTCCGGTGAGACGGCAAATGTTGAGCAAGGCCAAGATGAGCAGCAGGGCAGCAAGGGTTTCACAGTGTTGACAATGTTCAGGGTTGATGCGACATGTCTCAGAGGTAAACAAGACAGACGGTTCTAAAACGAACGCCACCAGAAGCTTCCAACAACACCCCGAGGCTCGAATTTAGCTTGTGTTTATCCGCCTTACCACCTATTTACGAGACTTGTTATGAGTTTGGCACCAATAGAAGAGCAGCTGTCATACAGCCAAGGACAACACAGGGTCATGATCCACTATTACATGACTCCCTCTCGCTTCGCCTATTCCCCGGAGCCAGTTCACCTGTATCAAGCATACGGTCCATAAGTGGAGTTCGCCCAAATCATGAATCGTTCAGTCCGGGGAAGAACATACGGAGAAAGGAAAATCAAGGAGAATGTCATATTACAAGCTGCATGGGTTCATGATATAGCGAAAGAGCGGACCGTTGAGACATATCACAGTCTCGTTGCATAAGTTCTCATGCATAGAATGTTGAAGTTGATTCAATTGCCTTGTTGTCAAAGGTCTTGAGTGAACCCGACAGGCACAGCTTGTTGAAAGTATGCCTCTTCCTGCAGCTCTAGCTTACTGGACGTCACGAACCAGACGCGCCCCACACCAAGCGTACGGGTAGTTGCGCTGATACCAGTTGACGCTATGCGTATGTTAGTGGTTATCCTATTTTGTTCGCGGTTTCCAACATACAAGGTTTTACGTCCAGCAATACGGGGATGAGTTGCCCATGATCCGCCCAGAACAACATTGTGCTTCCCGTCGAAGAAGTCATCTAAAAGTCATGAGCCGACACAGCCTTTGCACTATGTGGAACGAGTGAGACAAGACCTGTATAAGCTGGGTACAATGTCATGGGTTCAAACCCCTCATGCCTCTCTAGCGGCGAGCTTGTCCATTCCCAAACACCGCCCATGTTCCCCTGCCCAGACAGCTGATTGCCGTTCTGGGTGACAGGCATTGGGTGGAAATGCTTAAAACCCACATTGCAGCCTTCAAGGTCAGCGAATAGTTCATAGGGATCAAGGGACTTCTCAGCGCCAGAGGCGCCATTACGCAAATGGTGTGGTGGAGGAGAAATCTCGACTCCCTCATTGGAAAGATGCCTGTTCAGCCATGAGCACTGTTACACTAATCCGAGAACGAAGGGGAGACCTGCCCGTTGACTGCAGAGATCTTCTTGGTGTTGATACTATCCGTCTTCTTATTCTTGTTCGGGTCCACATAATTGTAGATGCTTCGGACTTCTTGCACGGATGGAATACGTCCGTTCATCCACGTTGCACATCTGGAAAGCTCATCATAAGATGCAAAGACGGGCCAATCCAGTGCGTACTCCAACGAGATCGGTCCGTAGACAGTCCTGACAGATTTGCCAGTCAAATATGCGTTTGTCAATGGCGGGCTAAGTCCATTCTGGTAGGAGCTATGGCCGTCGACAGGCGCTTCTCGTTGATATACGGGTGGGGAGTGATGGCTCCCCTCAGAGATCCAGGAAACAGGCACCGCATCCTGGCCAGTATGGTAAAGGTAACGGGCGTAGTCTTCGTTGGTCAGGGGCCTCGCCTGGGCCTCGAATGCTGGCACATCAAGCAGACGTTGTGGCTTCTCGTTGTCCCAACCAAAATGACGGTTAGGTCCATCATCGTTTTCAGGGTCCTCCAAGCCTACGTTGATAGTGCTGGCGGGTATTGGGATCCATTGATTTGGAATCGCAGCCTCCCGGGCTTGTTTCCCCAATGCCACAAAATCTGGAGCCACGCCAGGAGGCGGGAGGGTCCTATCACTTTGCAGAAGCATGTAGAGAAGTGTCTCCAAATGCATGGCTGATCATGACAATCGGACGTCAGTGATAACCGTGGTAAAGGGGGGGGGGGTCTCTCACCTTCATGTTCGAACCCAATCCACAAGGCTCGTCCAAGCAATCGGTTCGTCTCCAGGCCTCTATCGGCAAAGAGGGATCTTGTTCGATTTCGAACTCGTTCTTGATAATCAAAAATCTCACCTATTGGAGGCCATTCATCTGGAATCTCGCTATGTGCATGACAGTTCTCTGGGTTGTCAACATCGGGATCGATGCCACGTTCGAACATGTGGTGATAAGAGCTCGGCTTGGTGGCCGCATCGCCGGTCGCTCTTGTCAAATGCATGTCCAAGAAGGCGGGAATATGGCCCAGATAGAAGAGGCAGCAGTTTCGAAGCTTAATGGGCTTCGACAGAAGTTCTTTCTCGGGTATCATGTGCCTCGTAACCACGTCCCATGCCGCCCATAGCTGTTCAAATTCGTGTAGGGATGGTACCGGCTGAGCAGCATACTCATTCGCTTTGAGAGGATAGGAAAAAGCCTGCTTCGAGACTAAGTGCAGATCTGCCACCATGTTGATTAGCGGCGTACAGATTGGGTGCTCATATTTGTGAAGCTTCGATGTTGTGAGAAAGTCGCATGTTATGATGTAATACGGCCCGTAATCGCGGTTCCGGTAGTGAATCTTATTGGCCTAGGTGTACTTGGCAGACAAATATGCATGTGGCGATAGACTCCAGAGTCTGTTGAAGAGGAAGCAGAGACAAGATCGAGCGTAAGAAAAATTGCCAACTTACGGTAATCGTTGATTCTGTTACCGAATCTCGCCTGTACCATCAAGCCAGCACGCTGCCAAAGCTCGTCACTTTGAAGCAGTGAGTACTTGTAGCTTTCTTCTACTCGAATCTTCTCCCCAGCCCTGATTAGCGTCCCTTCTACCACGACATCTCTGACAGGTGTATAGAACGCTTGGTGCCGGCGAGCGACTTCATCGTACTCTCCCATCACTTTCCAATCGTCTTCCCTGAAAACCTCCTTTCCCATGAGCTTATTGGCATGCTTCAGGCCGTTGAGGATGAACTCGTGTGTTGTACCTCGCTTGTCATTGTAAGCACGATAGACCTTGTCACTTTCATGGCAGGCATCAATGCCTATCAGCATGGAATCTTGGCCTTGCAGAACTTCTGAACAGCCCCGCAGGAAATCTACTGCCTCTGTACGCTCGAGATTGCCAATTGAGGATCCCATCCACAAGATGCACTTTGGGATCCCAAGATTCGCAGTCTCCTTCATCCAAGCGAGCCCATCGTCATATGTGCCAAATAGGCCATGACAACGCACATGCTTATAAACTCCGTTTACAGCAGATAACGTTCGCTTCAACTCTGGCCAGGACAAGTCCAATGCATAGTAGTCAATCTCCTTTTTGACCCTCTCAAAAGCCTGGAGTAGGATGCTGACCTTGCGGAGATTACTGAAGTGTGATCAGTAATGGAGTTTGCCTTTGAGCAAAGCTCGGAAGCCTTATGGGCTCCCCTTCTTACCCACTGCCCAACTCAATGACCTGTGAGCCCGGCTCTATCACTCTTGCAATTGCTTCTGCATGACTGGTGAGGGTCTCAATCTCAGCATTCGTCAGATAATACTCTTCTAGATATGTGATCTCCTCGAAGAGCTGCAGTCCTTCCTCATCATACAGCAACAGCGTTGGCATTCTTCTCTCCTGCCCTTTGCCCGGATTGAGCTTCTGACGGATTTCATCAACAAGAGAGATGTTTAACTCTCCTTGACGAATGTCCACAATGGACACATCGCGGTGGCCGTTTTGCAACGCCATGATCAATGGAAAGAAGAGCCAAAGAATGGCAGATGACGAAGGATGAGAAGGTAGCACTGCCTTTATAATTTACGAGATCTCTTTGCGGATCTCGGTTGACATGAATACTGAATGTTGAAGGGAAAACCCTGCGCTTGGCAGGAACAGACGCCATCAGCCGGTGATCCATGTGCCTTGGAGAGCTCAGGCAAGTGGGTCGCCTCCGCGCCCTCCGCGTTGTTGTCCGTAGCTTTTCATTGGCGCAGAGTTTTTGTGGGAAGCATGTGCTAGCGCCAAAGCTTGGGGGATAACCCGCACATCGGCATATGTAAAAGCAGGATGAAGGAGAAGGAGTAAGCTGAGGAGCAGTAAAGTTGCGTTCAGCAGACTGGAACTGAGGGGAAAAATATGATGAGTGATGCTTAGATGATGTTCCCGGAGATTTAGTGGCAGGTTTAAAGCTGCTGATTATGGCGTAATCCAGTCGAGTGGAGTCGAGTGGAGTCGAGAATGAGACTTCTCCACGCTTGAGAACATCTTTAGTATGTAAGTACTTTAATGCTTGTTGTCATCATTGTCAACGTGCAGTCTGACCGAACACAACAGAGTATCCGTCTATGCCGATCTCACCGTGGAAGCACAAGGTACCTTATTCCTAAGGTACCTTCCTTACCTGAATCAAATCTCCTCTCGTGCTTTAGCCGCTTGCGATTAGTCAGAGTATCCAGGAGGCTTGGCGTTTGCTGCCTCTTAAAGTACAGCTGCTTCACCTTACTCCTACTGAACGCCCTCGGTGGAGGGAAGTGTTCTTAAGCCGACCATGAATTAGCTTACGGTTCACTAATAGTATACATTACATGTAGTACACTTAGACCAGGTTAATTCGTAGGAACACCACATGCATGCAACGCTCGCTGGAGGGATATCGCCGTGCGAACATGGAAATGACAGATGTCCAGAACACCAAGATTTCAGTCCCACATCGTCTCAAACCATGACTCTCCTTAAGCCATCTGTTCCTGCAAGTACCATCCTCCCGGTGACCGCGCATCTTCCCTTTCCACTCTCCCACTCTCCTTCTCTACTCCCCTCCTTTCCCGCGTCCTTTTCCTCCTTCCCTCCCACTTCTTCTTCATCGTATCCCTCGTCCCATCCTTCTTCTGTTTCTCTCCTGCCCTGCATAAATGAAATCTGCCTTTCATGGCTCCCATCCACCCACTTGAAGATACAGGTGTAACAAAATACAAATCCTGTTTGAGCGGAGGTAGGGGTCTGTATTGGGTGCAAGCAGATGGGGCAGAGAGAGCTCGTATGAGGCTTGGGGGCCGGTACGGTGTGGATTGGGAGCAAGGTCGTGGCGCATATCGGAGGGCTGTGCTTGGCTGGTATGTGAGAGACAATTGGTGGAGGCGTCGGCTGATGATTTTCAGAGGGTGGGGAGGAGAGTGAGACCGTATTCGCAGGTGCTGACGTTGGAGAAAGCGACCCCGAAACTTGTGTTGATGCTATTGTACTCCGAGAGATGCTTCTTGGAGGCAAGCCTGAGATGACTGGTGGTGGTAGGTCGAGGCCCTCAGTAGCTTTCTTATTAAGCTGACGTGCAAAGTCTGAGGCGTGCCACCACTCCAGAAACTTGAGAGCAAATATTGACGTTGGTAAAAGGATCTTGAGACTTGAGAGGAGACGAGGATAAATCACCGATGTGAAGGTAAGAGGATTGAATATACTAGATTGCTGGCCGGGGCGAGCGGCAGGATGAGACGGAGATGTTGCGGCAGGCTGAGCAGCCAAAGCTATGGCTCGGTGATCTGCTTCACTAAGACGTCGAATGCGGGTGCCAATCAACCAGAGGAACGGCGAAGAGTACTTTGAGTTATCGAAAAGATAGGACAAATTGAAAGCCAGGAGGGAGAAATAATAAGCCGCATTTACACTGGGGTAGATATTCCGCAGAAACCATTTGTAGTAATGTAATATCCTCTGTCGAATGGTTGCATCATGAGGAAGAGCATCCCGGTTGTAAGATGGTCCTATTATTGCGGCCTGCGGTGTGTGGATATCGTAGCTTTCGTCGAGCTTGCGCTTTAGGTATGGCAGGCCAACCATGATTGCTAGATTGTTCCATATATCACGTTCGCGGAGCTGCAGCGTTTCTCTCATTAGGCCCGGTGCACCAAGACGAGCACGCGGGGCTTCACCACCCTTGATTCGTAATACTCGTTCTCGTTTGAGGCCATAGAAGTTCTCCGTGAAGCCTCCACCATATGTTTTGAGGTAGTGTCGCTCAACAGCGAGCATGAGGAGCGCATATAGCTCATCAAAAGAATTGAGAACGCGGAGAAGATACCGTGGGTGTCGGTGCGTAGCTATGGCAAGCAGGTAGCGTAGAGATGGGGGAATGAGGCCGCATAATTGTTGTTCGGAGAGTAGTTCTGGAAGCCATTAGCAGAGGCTCTCGCGAACTTGGGTTTCAAACTCCAAGGCACCAAACACAGAGGGTTTATGCTCGTCAAAGCCATTCTGGAGGCTTGACATGAACTCCATTATGACCTTCGCTAAAGCAAACCCTGCGTTAAGTTGACAGGAAGCTCCAGCAGGTTGTTGTTGATTTGACAACTTTGGGCCGAGGTCCAACTCAGCCCTATCAGAAGAATATCCGAGAGGATCCCAAGGATCTTAATTGCGCTCTTGCCTACTGCTTTCGTTTACTCGCCGACAAACGACCCCAAGGATCCAGCAAGATGGTTTCGACATCGACAGGCACAGGAGTAGCTAGCTCTGATGCGTCCAAGGCTCTAAGATTCGTTCCACTCGGCAAGCAGTACTCTCTGATCTACTCATGCTCGAGCTAAACCTGATAAGCTGTGCAGAAAATAACCCCGAGGTTATGTCCTCGCTCGTCCATAAATTGGGCCTCTCTCCCGAGTTGTCATGGCACGATGTTTACTCTCTCGATGACCCGTCCTTGCTAGCCTTCGTTCCCCGTCCAGCTCATGCCCTTCTGCTGGTCTTTCCTGTATCTTCCGCGTACGAAAAAGCTCGCCACGAAGAAGATAAGTCTTTGCCAGATTACAGCGGTACCGGACCGAAGGAAGAGGTCCTTTGGTTCAAGCAGACGATCGGGAATGCTTGCGGCCTCATGGGATTGTTACATGCAGCCTGTAACGGAATGACCCGAGATCTTATTGGTACGCTCTTCAGCCAATAGTACCTCCATGAATCCCTGTCCGATACTTATATGTAGCACCCTCGACACCTCTCTCCCACCTCATCACCGACGCTCTGCCACTCGATCCCACATCTCGATCCAGGCTTCTCGAAACATCTGACAGCCTTGCGGCTGCTCATGCCTCTGCAGCTGCCGAGGGTGATACAACAGCTCCAGCTGCTGACGAGCGGATTGATCTGCACTACGTCGCCTTTGTAAAATCAGCGGAGAACAACCTTTGGGAGCTGGATGGAAGGCGCAAGGGTCCACTGAACAGAGGAACGCTTAAGGACGGAGAGGATATGCTCGGAGCGAAAGCCTTGGAATTAGGACCGAAGAGGTTTTTAAAGCGTGAAGAGGAGGCTGGTGGCGGAGAGCTGCGATTTTCTTTGTTGGCTCTGGGCCCAAGTCTTGAGTAAAATGTAGTTCGAGATCGTCGGTCCAAAGCAAGGGGTTAAAAGTCGGGAATGGAACCGTCCCAAAAGCGAAAACGTCGAAAATACCTCTCCAAGATGTTGGTGGACCTTTACCCATCGCGACTGCCGCTTCTCTGCTTCCACATCCTACAAATCCACGTACAACCATGGCTTTCTATCTCTTGCAGAAGGTGCGACGAATGTCTAAACCAAGCTCAGTGGAGCTGTCCTGCAGACTGCATACTTCTGTTACTCGCCGTCAAGCTGTACGATGAAGTCTTTACCAGGCCGTGGCCTAGGCGGCGTTTCCGAAAAGAGTAACAGCTACACGCGTCAGGAGCAGCACATTCAACAGGTTCTAGCCGTGGTCTCGGCATCAATTAGTATGCTTTCGGGGCTCATATCCTTCTACTGGTTTGCAACAATGAAGAGGAACTTCCGACATCAGTACGTTGCTGGGACAAGACCTCTGATTTGAAATTTCGAGTCGTTGATCATGCCTAGACTCATCATGCTGCTCATTGGAAGTGGAATGTTCAAGGCTGTTTGGTATTGGGTTCCTCCTATCACCATCCTCGCAGGGCTGGAGCCCATTTCTCATGGTTTCTGTCAAGGTGTCGGTTTCTTACTTGCTGTGGGCATTGAGGCATCAGGTCTGTTGCAATGAATCAAATTTCTGTCTCACTTGTTGACTTTATCGAACCAGATTCCGTTATCATCCTTATCGCAATCCATACGGCCCTCACGATCTTTGCATCGCGTAAGGCGAACTCCCAGACTGGCCTATATGGCTATCGATGGGCAGCCTACACTTGCTGGGCGTTATTTTCAACACTCATGGCGGCATTGGCGTTCATCAATCCAAGCAGTCCTTATATGTCTCAGGGTACCTTCTGCTATCTTCCGGCCCGCCCAATATGGTACCGACTAGCACTTAGCTGGATTCCTCGCTATCTTATTCTCTGCACGATCGTAGGCATATATCTAGCCGTATACCTGTACACCAAGTCCAAATTTGGGGACTTCGACGCCAAATTCAGCACCAACAGCGTAGCTTCCGAGGACACGACTCAGCACAGTCGGACAGACAGACAACCGTCCTGGCCATTGCCTGGCTTCGACGGCGCCGATGATCTTAACAGTGCAGAGTCGAGTACGGAAATAAGCTCTCCCATCTTGGGTTCCTTGATCGCTCCTCGAAAAGCAACAGAGGCCGAAGTCTCCCTTCCGAAGTCTTACGAGCCAGTCTCAGGCCCAAGACTTACTAACAGAACGCCAACCCTCCTGGAGGCACTCCGTGACAGGACTCTGATTTCTGACGCCAACAAATTCGTGGAATCTTCGGCGAATGCTGCCTTGCGTCAACGTCATAAAGCCATCAAAAAACAGCTACGGTACTTGTTTGTTTACCCGCTTGTCTATCTTGCAATGTGGATTCCGGCTTTTGTCAGCCATTGCTATCTCTGTTAGTATCTTTTCCGATCACCTTCGTCTGCTCGAATAGAAGTACTGACTGCAAAATCTTCCAGACACCGACCAGCATAATCCGCCATTCGTGTTGAACACCATCTCGATATGCTTCCTTTGTCTACAGTGTGCCGTTGACTGCTTCATCTTCAGCATACGAGAGACGCCGTGGAGACAAATTAAAAAGAACCCCAACCCGATTCAGAGGAAGACGCACTCAAGAGGGGGGAGTGACAATGGCTTGAGGCGAATGATCAGTGGGTTTCAGGAGCAGGCCACTGCAAAGGGGGACATACAGACCTTAGAAGGCCAGACGGGGCAAGAATCTCGACGCGAGAGGAATTGGTGGGACAGAGACTCTATGTAAAATGCCATGCGCGCGGCAACCGGCAAACAGCTCTCAAGTCATATCGTTTCGAAAAGCAAACCCGCAGGGATTGGCGCGTTTTACGAAACTGAAAATACTGGGATCATCAGGATGTCAAAATCATTCCTCAGGCCTCCAATCCCAATATCTACTATTCACTCTTTGCAACAAGTCCTTAGTGATATCCATCCAAACTCCCATGGCCATCCGCCTTGTCACTATTCCAAATTTTTGTAAACAGCACTCTCAATATTGGCCCAAAGTCCAATAACATCGGCATCTGTCTCCAACAACATTAGCATGCAATCCCCTATCTCGATTCTTCCCCCTTCTTTTCCCCCTAAACACCAATTTTCAACGTGGGAAACCTTACCACAAAAAGGTAGAATCTGCGTTGCAATAATCCCCGCGACACCATTCTCTCTATCGCACCACCAAAACAAATTTGGCAGTCCTGCATCATCATCAGCATCCCTCCTCACCAACGACCATGCTATAGATCAACTCACCAGCCCACCACGCCGTATTCTTCCCTCTCCCCGTAGCCGCCTCGTGAATCGTCAGCATAAACGTCAAACCCCACCCCTGCGGCTGCTCCTCGGGCTGATGATAGAGATCCGGTATATCGTTCGTATACGTCGGCTTCGCCGTCCGGACCCCCTTTCGGCCAAAATCCGGGAACGCCGGGATCTGGTTCGTGAACATCTCCTCCACGCTCTCCTCCGTCAAGATCCGATTGTCCGTCGCGGGGGAAGTCCCACCGTTGAGCAAGGCGGCGAGGATCTGCGCGTAGTCCGTGGGCCGGCCGAAGCAGCCCGCGCCGGCGGAGTTGTATATGCCGGGGACTTCGGCCGGGGTGGCGATCAGGGGTCGGCGGTAGAGGTGGTCTCGGGCCCGTACGTGGCCGGGGGTCTTTTGGTGCATGTGTGCCAGGTTGGCTTTCATCTGCGGGGTGGGGAACATGGTTATGTGGTGCAGGTCGAGCGGGGCGAAGATGTGGGTTTGGAAGTATTCGTTCAGGGACATGGATGTTGCGCGCTCGATGAGTGTGCCTGCCCAGTCTATGCCGACCTGACGGGTGGGGTTAGTTGGATGAGGTGAATGGGAAGAGTGGTGGAAGATGGGAGGGATACTCCGTATGCCCAGTCGGTGCCTGGAAGAGGATTTAGCTCTACGGGCTGCTGAAGTGCAGAAAGCTAGGGGGAAGGAGTAGAGTGGCTACCTGGCTCAAAGGTCAGGGGTTGACCTAGGACGCCACTCGGATGGCAGTCGAATTCGTCAATGCCAGCTGGTTGGCCATAGAGTCGGACAGTGTCGTTGAAGAAGGTGTACCTATCGAATTCCAATTAGACAGCAATACTTATGGCGTTCCTGCCTGCCATCGCTGCGTCATACTCAAAGCCAGCTATTGATCCTGTCAGGCAAAGATCAAATACATTGCAAAGGTAATTCAAGGCCATACCAGTATGGTTCAACAACATCCTTAGCGTGATCCGATTCTTCTTCGCCACCGTCTCCGCCTTGCAATTCTCATCGATGCCCTTCAAAATCCGAATAGTCTTGAGCTCCGGACAATATCGCTCCACCAAATCAGCATCATCAAGCGCCAGCCTCCCCTGCTCGACTAATTGCATCGCTGCGATGCCGCCAATCATTTTCGTGCACGATGCGATCCAGAAAACGGCGTCGAGGCTCATGGGCTCTTTGGTGTCGATGCCCTTTTTCCCACTGGCGTGCGAAAAGAGGGTTTTCCCATCTCTGTCGACGACAACCGCGACGCATCCAGGGATTTTGTGAGGGTCGGCGGTGACGTCGTCCATGCTGGTCCGGATGCCATGCTTGGCTGAGTCTGATAGCGTTCTTGTCATGTTGGTGTGAATGCTTCTTGTTCGAATTGCTCATGCAATGAAAGGAATACTGGACATTTGAGAAGGTAAGGTCAATGGAAAGCTCTCGCCCCGCCGTGTGACCGGTCTGGACCTGCAGAGCTCAGCGCAGATCTTTGCGGGGTAGCATCCTTTGAAAGTAGCATTGTGTGGGGTAAAATAGACACAGGAGCCATCACGACGCATACTCATTGAGAAAGAATCTCAAGGAGATTTATATGCATCGCTTGAATGAATCGCGTCACTCGGGCTTGAGGAAGGGCTTCAGGAGGGAGCATTTGCAAATCCGAACGAAAACAGTCGGACATCAGGATGCGAGAACAATGTTTCGGTGTTTTTAAGATATTTGCATCACGCAGACAGGCCAGCACGCACGGTGTGCAAAAAAAAATGGCACAAGAGTCATGTGATAATTGCTTAACAACGTACCTACTTGGTTCGTGAGACTTTCGCTGGGCTCAGCACGGAAGCAGCCAAAGCAAAATGGAATTAGCTTGATATACTTCGCAGTGATACATGCCACACGTAACTACTGATCAACATCCCGCCAATGCTCATGAGGAAAGCCATGAGCACATTGACCGCGTTGTTGTCAAGAAGCCCAAGACCACTCTCGACTCGGCGACTTGGCTCGTCGCTCTTCTTGTTCGCTGGCGTCCGTGAACCCGACACGAGCACCTGTTTCTTGTCAAACAGTCATCCAATTCTAAGATAAAAAGACTTACTTTCTTCCCGCCAGAGCCTTCAATCACCTTGCCCGTCCTTCCATCAACCACACTAGCCTGGAACCAACCTCCGAGAGCACTGTCCAGAAAACTTCCAAGGCCCCCCCATATTGTGACGGCAATGACCCAAAAGATCTTCTCTTGCCATCCCCATCCATCTCCACCCTCGAATCCAGGTTTATTGCCCAAGAACTTTCCTCGGATCGTAGTATCAACAGAGCAGAAAGGTATAAGGATCACGGACGTCAAAGCAATTATGAAGGCACCGACAAAACCTGCTAGTGTCCCCGCGAGCGTGACACCACCATTGGTGCCTGGTGGTACCTGGCGAAAGTTCCAAGATGTGAGGAGTCTGGGCTTGCTTTTCGAGAGGATGCCCAATTCCGAGGAGAATGTATCTGCTGCGACGGCAGCATAGTTGCTTTTTCAGCTTCCGTCAGAACTGTGGAAGATAACTCAGGAGTGTTCGAGGCCTTACCTCACTATCCCAACAACCAGCAAATCGCTGCCGTAAGCCCAGCACTCGCCGCCAGATGCATTGTGTTTCCCCCTTGTCTGCAGCTGCCGATAGTGAAGCAGTATCAAAATAGAAGCCACTACCGAGTTCGCCAGAACCTGAATATGAGTTCGCGCTCCTTCTCCTGCCGAAGCCCCTGTTGACGATAGGGTCAACCGGGCTTTCACGTCATGTTTGACCTATAGAACCGTAAGCCTCCTCAACTCCAAAGATAACATACCGCAACCTTATACCTTGGTGGCAGCAGTACCAGCTAGGAAGAACACAACGAGCAGCGCGAAAAAGATGCTCCAAGGATGTATGGCATGGACAACTGCCGTCAACGCTGCAACAACGATGCCGAAGGGTGTCAGAGATTTCTTAGAATACGCGCGGTAAACCAGGCCCAGAGTCGCCGGGGCCGCGATGTAGGGACTAAATGACTTCGGAGTCAGAACATCTCTTTTGAGATCAGATTTGAGTCACGAAAGGGTACGCTTGCGACAAGTTTCGTAATCCAAAGTGCAGTAAGAATTGGGATGGCATGGTCGGAGAGAATGACTCACTGCATGACCCTCAGAGAGGCTGGGAGGTTCCCGTCGTCAATCTTCAGAATGGGCGAGGAGAGCTGACTTCAATTTAACACGGCGAGCTCGGCCTAAGGTTTGACCTTATCGATAAGAGCTTCGTATCACGTGATCCATTCCTTTAACGACTTCACCTCATCAGAGTATGGAAGTGACCTTTCGTTTCATTTCTGAAAGTCATATATCGACTCTGACTGTTACTATGCAGCCGCTGATCCGTAATGCGATTGCGGCCAAAGAGCAGCTAGCACATTCGCTCGCAACTCCCATGACACGCAAAACCTCGGCCTGGGTGTCATATTCAAACGCCCAAAACGACCTTCATCCTCTCATAAACAAAGAAACTCACAGCGACCATCGGCACAACCTTGACATATCCAATCGTCAGTCCCACCCAGAAGCCCTTGAACCCTGCTTCTTTCCATACTTTTACTCCAGTCTCCGCCATGCCCAATCGATGTCCATCCCCTACTGCTCCTCCAACCTGCATCCTCCTTCTAACCACTTCAAGTGGATATGAAGCGGTTTGCGAAACCAACCCAGCGAACCCACCAGCAAGAAGTTCTGCCCAATATTTCAAGACAAGCGGAGCGGTCGCATCTCTGGATGCTGGGGGTGACGTTGTGGTGTAGGGGGCAAGGGCTGGGAGGCGCAACCAGTCCGTAGCAGTATCGTGGGTCAGAAACGACATGCCAGCGTAAGGAAGCATGCCTGCCAGCGTTGGCGTGAAGCCTCGATAGAAATTTATTACGCCGCTGCTGGGAGTCGAGGCGGCAACTGCGGCGACGGACACGGGCGCAGTGGATATTGATGACCGTGCAACGATGGGTGGATGTTCGTTGTAAATATGACGACATATGCTAGAGAGAGAGGAACGGGAATCTTTCCTTGTTTCAAAGGCCAGGCGGACACGGATGACTTCCAGTGGATAGGTAAACAAGACCGAGGTGACGCCTGCAAGGGAGCCTGAAAGAAGCCGACGTAAGGGCGTCTCTTGCGCTGGCGAGGTTATCACGAGAGATCGTATCTGCTCGTAAGCAAGGAATTTGATCGCGGCATAGGGAAAGATGCGGAGGAGGGTTGCCGAGTGGCCTCGGAAAAGACCGCGTAGACCATCCTGACGATTGATGTCGCGCATGGCAGTCACGACGCCGAACCAAGAACCGGTGTATTTAGCAAATTGAGGGTTGGAAGCCTGGAAGAGGATCTTGACACGATCGAGGGGTCCAACGACTGTTTTGGCCTGCGAGGAAGATTAACATGGGCCTATCTTGCAATCACTGTGTGTGCATACAGCACATCCTGCTAATCCTCCAGCCAAACCTGTCCTCAGCACATAGTCTAAATTCTGTTTGCTCCTGTGTCTCTGATTCCCAACCCCTTTTGATGCTATCGTTCCCTCATCCCGAGACTGATTTGGGGCTCCACGTTGCAGGTTGTGTTCCCCCATCTCCGGCGATCGTAGCTGTGTGGCGCCATGAGCGCGGCTCATACCCACCGGAGATTTACAGTGAGTGCGAGCATCCAAGCACCCTCTGACAGCTTTATCTTAGAAAAGCTAGGATGAATTGAGAAGCACGTTGACTATTTGCGAAAGTGAAGCGCGGGCGACGGGCGTTCTTCCTCTCGGCAGGGCAGGACAATAATTTAGGTTGATATGTCCGAAGTTCAACCGGAGTGGCAAGGAAAAACTTTCTCCTATATGAAATACCGTTTCAACTGCCATCGCTAACATGTTGAATTACCAAGAAGATCTGAAACTACACGCGCAGTCCTAGGCCTTTGCTTTAATCGTCAAGCTTATTGCAAAGTGATTGAACGATTGCTTTTATACCTGCCTAGCGGCAACACTACATCGAAACCACATATCCTTGCAGTATCCCAGTATCGACATTAACCATTGTTTATTGTGTGTCGTAATCTCCAGCCGTTCCTATTGCGTCTTTACCGCGCTGACGGAGTCTTTTAGGCGTAGCATACCTCACAAGTAGGATCGGGCTGTGCTCAGACCTCGAAAGACCCTGTTAACGGCAGTGATCACACATGTCACTACGTAGATTTCGGAGTCAGCATTGCTTACTCGAGGCTGAAACTGAAGTTGCAAGATCGGTCCCGAAAGTAGAAAGGTCCTCTTGCTCCCGAAGCATGGCCTATGACTCGATTCCAATACCAAACAGGAAAGATGATCTTAGAAATGTACGTACTCCAAGTCGGTCCACACGACCTGATGGCTCGGTAAATAGTCATCGTCTCTGAAAAGCTCTGCATCCATGTTCTCCCGGCACATGCCTTCACAAACTTTCTCTGCCTCCATCTTGTGTTTCCATACCGGACCTTGACTACCCATCTGGCCAAGACCTCTCTTCTGATCGTTGAAATAGATGTAGTCGTCACCCTGGCTGCTCCACGCCTGGTAACAAAATTTGTCGTCGTGTTCTCCATGCCAAGTCCTGCATTTCTCATCCATGGTGTAGCCAGCAAGCACGTGCTGCCCGCGAGCTGGAGGGACACAACCAAAGTCATAACCCACATAATCTTGAGGACAGGTCGAATTCAAAATGAAGGTAGTGTCGAGGTGAGTGTTGTAGTATTCAAATTGATAGTAGTGGGTCAGGCCAATGTATTCTTCTATCCTTGGAGGGTATTCGCAGTAGCAGAAGGTCGCGGTGAGGTAGTCGCCGCTTATGAAGATTTAAGAGTCAGCACTGTGTGTCCATGCCGATTAATTCAGCCATGAGATGTTAGAAAAACGTACGTCAATTCTACGTCCGCTGGTCCCGTGAAACCTTTAACCTTTCCCCTCGCGACTTGCTCCGGAGTAGCAAGGGCATAGATGGCCGGAGAGAAGAGCATCAGCCCCACGAGGAGTCTCTGGAGGTAAGGCATGGTGATCTGAGACATGAAAAATGGGAAGGATAGGTTGGGGAGGTAGCTATATATAACGACTGCAACGATGCTATCGAAGCAGCGAGTTGTCAAAGAACTTTTCTTCATCATGTGCTCTGGCCAAGCATCTGCTGGGAGGATTCTGAGAAGCTTTGCGCTTATTTCCTGGGAAACATGCTCAAGGTGGAATGAGAAGCTCACTCGATCTTCTACCCTTTGAAAACAATCTTGCTCACGTTGTCGCGGAAGCCCACTCGTTCGACGCCAATGTACAAGGGAACACGGCCAGGATTGGCCGTCCAGATGTTACTGCATTGCGACCTGGTAATCAGCTCACCAATTTCAAGTATGGTCCAGGGTGAAATGTTGACTCTCTAGGAGTCTATTAGCAGAGACCTCATGTGGACATGCGGTCCGAGCAGCGATAAAAATTTCTTTCTTGATGGGGCTCTCGGATAATGCGGTATTTTTGAGAAAGTATGGGGTCATTGCTTGGGCATGCCAACGAAGTGGCAAGGAATTTTTTAGCCAAAATCAAGGTGAGATATTGGTTCGATGGTACCGGATCTGCTCTGTACTCGAGGTGTGTATCAGTCATCGCTGCTTTGTACGTTTGACATGGTCCTTCGAAAAGGAAATCAAGTTCGCAAGACCAATTACAGAGCAGCGTGAGAATTCTGAAAGCACGGTGAGTTAGTTTGATTGAAAATGACGCCAATTCCTACGGTTCGCCAGGAGATTCTGCTTTGGCAGGAAGGCATCTTGAATATCCTTAGAAGGGAATTGAGTATATAAAAGTCGAAGCGTAGTGTCCAGCAGTTAAAGTGACCCTGGTATAGTTCCCAAAATGTAGAGATCTGACCTTCTGGTCAGAGACTTAGAGAGTCTTATTTAGAAGTGGATGCAAGACTATGTAAGATCAACCCACAAAGACATGCTCGCTCTATGACGTCGAAATTGAAGCAATCTTAATCGTGAGCGGCAATCCTTTCTGGGTATGATAGGTACATTTTACCTGACTTCGAAGGAATTCGTCCCAGCAGACTGCAATCTTCCCTGACCGCTTCTTTTCTGTAGGGAATGAACGATGTGATAAAACCTCCATATCGCTATCTCATCGACTGCCACGATTTTGATGACAGCCTCTTCTAACAGGTTGTGATATGTCCTCGGAGCTGGTAAATTACACGACATAGGTAGCTAAAACATGATGTAGCTGGTTGAGAGTTGCGGCTGTCCTCGGGCAGGACAAAATCGAGACCTTCGCTGCCTTGACGTGTGGCTCTTCACATCTATGCAAGACACTCTCGAAATTGTTTGAAGGTGGATTTGAGTAGCAAGTTGCCGACTGATCCACTCGGCATTTCTATAATAGCCCATATACTAGGCAAGCATCATATTGCAGGTTACTTTATGCATAGTTGCAGATTGTTTGCAGAATGGCCGAACAGATCTCCACGCCAACGCCAATCCTCTACCAGAACCCGACTAAGACTCTGACTCTACTTGACATCCCTACGTCCATCGCCCATGCCCAAGGCAGCGTCGACCACCCATGCAACGATCAAATCTACGCGTCGCCTCCTCTACAAACGCCATACCCATCCACAGAGCCCAAGACTGAGAAGGCGAAAGCCAATGTGCTTCGGACGAAAACCCCTTCTGATACTGATGTAGGATTTCCAGACGCCTTGCTGCAGCAGGCACTCAGAGAGGTGGCCGAGCATTGGCCTTTAGAAGAAGATTGGTCTCTACCACGGAAGATAACATCTCTCGTATCTGAGAGGCAAAGCAGGAAACGCAAGGCTGATGATGCTATTGACCAAGTATTTTCAACCCAAAAGAGAGAGTCGGTCCACGCTTCCACTGCTGTGTTGCCGGCTTCGAAAATAGAAACCGAGATAGGACATGACCCCTTTCCTTCGAGAACAGAGCCAGAATTCAAATTTCCAGACTCAGAAATCAGTGTTCGAAGCATCGAAGAGCCGTTGATCTTATCTTCAGAGTCCACACCAAAAGCCTACACCTGCTCTAACATACGGATCTTCACCAACAGGCTCGTCCGTAACCCATATCCGACCCCATTATCCCTGCAGTGTTCAGGAGTCAAATACAAGACACCCCCCAACGCAAATTTCCTGCTGTCTAAGATTGGCGAACCAACGGCCCATGCCTTCAGCATGGCAGCTCTGACACTGTGCCCTACATCTAGCGCCACCGCTGGGCCCGGGCAATTCGACTTCGTTCTGCTGGATCCCCCTTGGGAAAATCGCTCAGTGCGGAGATCAGCTAGGTACGATACCATGCATGACTCGGATCCAATGGTTGTGCTTCAGGCGATGTTGGGCCAGCATATAGCTCCGGGCGCGCTAGTGGGGTGCTGGGTAACCAACAAGGCAAGTGTCCGAGATACTGCATTAGATGCTTTCCAGACGTGGGACATGCAGCTCATCGAAGAGTGGGCGTGGTTGAAGACAACGGTGGGTGGACTTCCAGTAACGCAGATCGATGGGCTCTGGCGGAAGCCCTACGAATTGCTGCTGCTTGGCAGGAAGGGTAGCGTTGAGGCTCAGAATTCTGATAGTGACGTTCGAAGGAGAGTCATTGTGGCAGTCCCGGACTTGCACTCCAGAAAACCGCATCTTAAAACTTTGATAGAACCGTTCCTACCAGCATCTTATCGTGCTTTGGAGGTCTTCGCTAGGAACTTGACAGCGGAATGGTGGTCATGGGGCGATGAGGTTCTCAAATACAATTGGGATGGTCACTGGTATACGCACAAAGGAAGCACCCAGATTTATGATTGATTTGCAGCTTTTGACTCGCCAGCAGAAACCAGGGTCTTACGCACACCCCATTCGCAGTCGTCGGCACCTGCCCTGTAATTATCCTGGCGTTTTTCGCGGGTAAGCCTTCCAGGCGATCGACACGAGTTCGCGAAGCAACTTCACTGAAATGTCCTCGAATTGTACCTTGCTCAACAATGCGGTCATTGAGGATACCAGACATTGTTACCTCCCCGCAAGTTTCAAGCATCACTAGAGGCGCCCGTTACGCTTGATTCTAGATTGGCAAAATCAAGTCAACCGGATTTCAAGCTCTGGAAGATCTGATGATCCCCTGGTGAGTACAGAGAACGGCGATGAAATCCTCTAAACTGATTGAAAGTTGATGTTTGACATTTTCAATCAATTTGAGATTGCAGTAGATGACAAGTCAGAGTAAGAAAGCTCTTCACGTATTGAACTTTGACCAATCTCCGGATCTGCTGACAACCCGTCTTGAGCCTTAGAGATCCTGTCCTCTTTTCTCTCATGTCTTCGAACCATCTTTCCCCACAGATCCTCCAGATCCAGCTCTTCTCGCTTTTCTTCAGTGAGCATCTGAACGACCAGCTTAGCACCCTCAGCCTCACTGCCAAACCCCACATATCCATGCTGCTCTGTGAACTCCTCCGTGGAAGCTCTCCCATCCTCGATGGTGCCAACATTGACACATATCCAACCAGTCCGTAGCCCGTCGTCCGTAGTAGAGGTTTCTGATGATCCAACACTGCTTAAAAGTCTGGCTCGGCGAACTTTTCTTCTCATCTTGAGCTTCAGTTCTCCCCTGCCCATTAGACCGTCCGCGTGCGGAGTAAGTTTGTAGGTTATCTTCAGCCATCTACAAAATCTGTCTGCCGAGACGTGTAGATGTTTTTCGCTGCGAGCAGTGCCCAAAACCATAATCACGTTTGCGCCTAACGCAGGCGGTGGATCGATCTTACGCAGATCAAAGATTGTGAGATCATCAAGGCCTAGATCAATGGAAACATGTTCGAGCATTGGCTTGAGAAGTGGTGGAGGATCAGACGGTAGCTCGGGCATTCGTTGACGCTCTAGCAGTGGATTTGAAGCTCGTTGAGGTTTCTCGACTTGGAGGTACCATGGCGTCGCTGACGTCGGGTATTCGGGTATCTCGTTTGACTCAGCGTATCGCTCCGCCTCAAGGCTCGTCTCTTCGCCTCGAGGCAACTGCTCTTGTCGTTGCTGCTGGACAAGATCAGACGTCCGTACTGGAGAAGTAGAAAAGTATTGCTTTTTAGTGTTGTCTACGGGCTTGATCCTAGTCTTTGTCGCTCGCGTAGCTGGTCGAACAGAGAGACCGGCGTGGGAAGCGACGGCATTTAGGAGAGCAACGCGACAATTGCTACACCTTAGAAGTGACGGAACTGCTTTTCGGATAACCATCACGGACTCCCTCGTCCTTGTAGTGTCATTTGCCAGCCAGCGAAACCGGTTGTCAACATTGCATTCCGAAGTTTCGAAGTTCTATTTTGGAACGATTCTGATAGGGCTGACAAATCCCTGTATGACGCACTGGCCAGACCTGAGATCTCTCTCTCCACACCACGTACTTCCAAAAAAGTTCACTACTCCAGCTCTGTGGGTTCTAACCGCATTTTCGAAGGAATAAAATACTGTATCTACATTCTAGGACCTTTGTGTGTCAAAAAAGTCCGGCTTCACCATGTCTATGGACATCGATGCGCCAGTGGCGCTGCCTTCCAGACCTTTGATCCCACAAGACAGCGCAACGTAGAGACTTTCTGCTCCACCGGAAGAAAAATATACTGACAGTCTTCTAGCATCCTCTGCTGCAACTGTGGTGCACCCATAGATGGCACTTCGGCCGCTGGAGCACTCTGCTACGATTGTGTCAAGCTCACCGTTGACATCTCCGAAGGCATACAAAGAGAGGCAACCCTACATATCTGCAGAGAGTGAGTGTCGTCCTAGGTTGCGTATATACGTAAGGAAGTTCTGACTCTGTCGGCTATTTTAGTTGTGAGCGATGGCTGCAACCACCTGCACATTGGATCACTGCTTCACCTGAATCAAGGGAATTGCTAGCATTATGTCTTCGGAAATTGAGAGGCCTTTCGAAGGTCAGGATCATCGATGCCAGCTTTATCTGGACGGAGCCCCATTCGAGGCGAATCAAAGTGAAAATCACTATTCAGCAGGAAGCGTTTCAAGGGACTATTCTCCAGCAAACCTTCGAGGTCGAATACGTCGTTGCGTACCATCAGTGTCCAGATTGTGCAAAGAGCTTTACAGCCAACACATGGCGAGCCGTCGTACAAGTGCGCCAAAAGGTCCCTCACAAACGAACTTTCCTCTACCTTGAACAGCTCATCCTGAAACATTCCGCTCATAAAGAAACAATCAACATGTAAGCTCAACCGCCTCGGTCTAAATTGCTTCAAGGTTCATGGCTGATGTGTCTACAGTAAGGAAGTCAAGGACGGTCTAGACTTCTTCTACGCCCAAAGAAATCATGCCGAGAAATTTGTTGACTTCTTGACATCTGTTGCCCCTGTTAGATCCAAGAAGTCTCAAGAGCTTATCTCCGTAGATATCCATACCTCTACGAAATCCTACAAATTCTCATTTTCTGTCGAGCTCGTCCCGATATGTAAGGATGATCTGGTAGCTTTACCCATCAAGCTCGCCAAACAAATCGGAAACATTGCTCCCCTAACCATCTGCTACCGTGTTGGCACATCTGTCAATCTTCTAGATCCAAACACTCTCCAGACAGCCGACGTCTCTACACCCATCTATTGGCGATCTCCATTTACCTCTTTGGCAGATGTTCAAGAACTCGTCGAATTTGTCGTGATGGATATTGAACCTATTGGCCCTCAGAAGGGCCGCTTTCTTCTTGCCGAAGCCACCGTAGCACGATCATCAGATCTCGGCAGCAATGACGTTACATACTTCACCCGCACACATCTTGGCGCAGTCCTCCACCCGGGCGACTCGGTCATGGGCTACCACCTTAGCGGCACAAATTTTAACAACCCCAATTTCGAAGCGTTAGAGCAGAGCAATGCCTACTCATCCAGCATACCTGATGTCATACTAGTCAAGAAATCCTACGCCCGCAAGAAGAAGAACAAGTCACGCAACTGGCGACTAAAGCGCATGAACAAAGATGAGGGCGAGATGTTACCGAAGAAGCAGGATCAAGATAGGATTGAACGAGACTTCGAAATGTTTCTGCGAGATGTGGAGGAGGATACCGACTTGCGGAGTACACTTGCACTGTACAAAGCTCAGCAGGAGAAGAAGGAGAAGGACCGCATGGAGGGATTGGAGACGGCGAGCGTTGTTGAGACGGAAGAAACAGAAGACGGGGAAGAAGTGCCGAAGATCGATATGGAGGAGCTGCTTGACGATTTCAACGAGCTGGACGTTCACGATGAGGTTTGAGGTTTACATTTATAGAAGCAAGCCAGCAGCCTGGCCTTTGCGGAGTAGCCGAGCCTGTAGCATGCAGAGCTATGAGAGCCATTACCACTCAACAATCAATGTGCATCTTCTACCCTTCCGCTTTTCTTGTCCTCCAGGATCAGCAATGCAATCGTCCTCTGACCCCACCACCCACGACCTCACAGCCGCCTTCCTCTTCCTCCGCACTGCCTCCACCGCCGTCACCAATCTCACCACCCAAATCGAATCCACAAAAGCCTACATCCAGTACGACTCACAAAACGGATATTATAGCGAGCACATGGGTCATGAAGCCCAGCTCGAAATGGAACTGCAAGATCTCAGAATGTGGGAAGCCAGGCTTGTGAAAGCGGGGGTGGGGTTTGTCAATTGGGCTGCGAAGGTGAGGACGGGGAGGTGGCTGCCGGGGGAGATATTGGGGATGATTGGTGAGAGCTTGCGAGAGAATGACTTGGTACTGTCGGAGATTTGGTAGGATGTCAGATGTCGCTCCACTCAGGGAGCTCGAAGGATACGAAAAAAAGCCAAAGCTTCTGCATCGTCCGTTTCAAAATATCCTACTCAAGACCCTCTTGGTCTCGTCCGACTGCTCCACCCCCTTCTCCTCTCTCCCCTTAACCTCATTCTGCCTGAATCTCCTCTCAAACCCACTCGTCTTCTCCCTTTCCTTCCCCACCCCCGTCTCCTTCCCACCCCCCTCCCTCTCCGCCCTCCTCTCCCTCTTCATCCTCCTCGTATCCTCCACCTTTCCCCTCTCCAAATTCCTCAAAAACTCCGCCCTCTCCCTCCCCTCCCTCCCCACCCCAACTCTAACCCTCTCCTCCCTCTCCCTCTCCTCCCCTCTCACCCCCGCCATCAAATCCCCCCATCCGAACCCCTTCAGATACTTCGCGTTCCACACATCATCCCGATACCAGCCCCCCTTCTTCCCGCCCACAATCCGCCCGTTGATCGCCTCGACGCAGACCTTGGCGTCCCGTTTCCGGGAGAACTCGACCCAGCCGTCGACGTAGCTGTGTTTTTTGTTGCCGCCGGCTTTGCGGCGCGAGAGGTAGCTGGAGGGGGCTTCGGGGGTGAGGAAGAGGCGGGTTATGGTGCCGTGGGCTGAGAGGAGGGTGCGGACGGTGGAGGGTCGCATGAAGGGGGGGATGCGGGAGAGGTAGATGACACCTGCTTTGTGGGCACGTTGGTTTGCGGCTGCAACGGCTGAGGTTGTGAGGGGTTTCCGCTTTTCGGGGAACTCGGTAGGATGGTCCGTGGAGATTGGTTCTGTCGGCTTTGTAGTTGATGCGGCGGAGGATCGTGACGGCTTTTTGGGGAATGCAGGGCTAGTGATTGGGGCGGCATCGTCTTGAGTATCATTGTCGGTCTCTCCGTCGGAATCGGAGTGCTCGACGGTGAGCTTCTGCCTTTTGGAGTGATGGCTGGCTAATCCTGCTGTCCTGCTGTCTGCGGCAGCTTCAGAAGAACTGCTAACGTTCTCGTCGTCCTCGCTCAGATTTGTGTCGAGAAACTCATTGTGCTTGCGAACCGCCATGTCTTTTTCAGACGGGGTCGAAAATCGCTTGTCGTCGAAGATGTAAAGAAGAAATGTTCTCAACGGAAATCTGGGGTTAAAGCAAGCGAACGGAGTTTAGGGCTTCGGAAAGGAAGGCTTGGCGCTACACGCTATGAGAGATGTGCCAGCAGGTGTGAAGCGACAGCGAGAATGAACAAATTTGTACGAAAGATCTAGAAACGTATACTCGCGTCTCGACCATATTGGAAGAAGAGTGTCGCGCAAATAATATCAGATGATGTACGGGAAAACCTCAGGGTATATGGAAGCCACAGGGTGACCCCGTAGCATAGGGAAGGCGTAAGGTATGGGGAGACCGTACGAGTAAGGCATGGGGAAAGCCTAGGGTAAGGGGACGCGGCAGGATACGCGCAAATCGCATGGTAGGAGGAAGTCGTAGATACTGCTTTCCACAACGTTGTATCTTTCATTTGGCTTGAGTCCCAGGTAAGCACCCATCGCACTGAACCGTCGATGACGACTACCTAGAATTTGCTGAACATCTTCTAAACGACTGAGGGAACTCGAAACGAAATCCACTTTTTGCCAATTCGACCTCTTGAAATCTTCGCATAATATAAATCTATTCACCTAGTATCTAGCTAGACCTACTCAGGCAGAGCCACCAGTGGTAGGCTCGAGGATCGGGTGTGGGGCTGACTTAGTTCTAGAACCACCAGATTTCTGATCGCCTGCTGTAGCTGCTTATTCACCATTTCATGTCCTCTTGATTCTTCTTCGCCTATCCTTGAGCCTTAGGCTGCGCTGCTGCTGCATCAGCAGACGCCTTATCAGCTCAAGAGATCCTCTTTATCGATCGAGAACTAGAGCGAGAGCCACGGAGAGGAGAGAGGGCAAGTATTTTGGGGGGCTCTGAAGCCTTCTGACGACGAGTTTGAGGTTTTGAATCCTTTGCTACACCCGCGTATCTGTATCAAAAGCTTCGTATAGCTTCAGTTGTTGATCGAGGTGATTTAGAACTGATTCCAGTCGATTGCAATACTTGCCATATACGTCTCTATACAAACCAAACGCAGGCCGGTATATTCGCGACTGCCAGAGAACGGACTGAGGGTTGCATACGCTAAATCAAGCCGCTGAAATTGCGATGAGTTCCAACTCACAAAAGATGTAGAATGCTTACGTTAATCCAGACAACGGCTCCGTGCACATATGCAAGATCTTCAGGTCTTAGTGGGCTGTGCTGAGTAGCATCGTTCGCAATTACAGGTGGCTGAAGTTAAAGGGTGGGGCTACGGTATTGTTTCCCACCCCCAGCTGAGCCTAAGCCTCAGCCTGATCATGAATATCAGAAACCCGTCTAGCCTCAGTCTCCCTTTTTGTTCCCCTGTTCCCGCTCTTCACTCTTCGTTTCTGTGTCTGAAGGAGCTACATAGTCCAAAAATGTGAACATTTCTTATCCGATGAAGTCTTACCATTTTCCATCTACCCTCGTCCCAGCTCTTGAGGCGGGAGACCATACTTGAGGGGTCAGAGTATGCAGTGGATACTGAAAGCGATGTCGGACCCCTGATCGAGCCTCCCATCAAGAAATTCATGCAAGATTCCTGTCCATCACCAAATAAGACAGCAATGATCTCCTGTCTTCGCTGGTGGCTACCCGAGATATTTGCCTCGTTACTTTCTGTAACCTCCTTGGCCTCTCTAGCCATCCTCGTGCGTCAGTATCATGGTAGAAGCCTGCAAGAACTCAAAGTCGATTTACCTAGTTGGCTCACACTCAATACCCTCATCGCTACACTTTCGACACTTGCTAGAGTTGCACTCATGGTTCCCATTGAGTTTGCTATGAGCTAGAAAGTATGGCTTTGGCTATTTGAAAGCAGGAGTGCTTCAAAGCGCCGTGGTCAGCTGCGTGATCTGGAATTATCGGATGCAGCCTCGTGTGGCTCTTGGGGAAGCTTACTTTTGCTTTTAAAAGCCGAAAAGAGGTAAGGCGCTTGCGAAGGTTGGGATGAAAGGCAGAGGCTTACGCTTGTTAACAATAGATGGCTCGCTTACGCAGGTGCATTTGTAACAATCGTAGCACTGGCTTTTGGCACCTTCACCCAACAGCAGATTGTTTTCGAACCCTTCATGGTCACCAACGAAATGTCGTTACTGTCAACATGACCAGCTCGGCCTACACTCTGGATGAGGTCAGTACGCAGGGTTCGAACTTCGAAGTAGGTCAACAGCCTACACACTGGGATGTGCATTGGGCTAAAGTTAGCCTCCCTACAGGAAGGACGGACTTACATCCGTGGAACGCATACGCTCGAACTAAGGCCGCCTGCATCTTATTCGCAGTTGCTGTTGTAGATAATCTTGGCACCAAGGGCGTGACCAGCTTCGCAGTCGATCCGGGCAGTAAGTTCTGAATGGGAGCCTTCGATGTCCTTCCCACTGCAGTACTGCCTTGTCGGCGTCTCCAGTGGTGGAAGGGACCAGTCTGATGGTGAGCTCAGGAATTGACAGTGAGCTCATGAAGCAAGGCATGGACCAGGCTGTTGCGCGCAATGGCGGTGAGAAGTACCATTGCTGATGCTGGTACATACTTGCTAATTAAAGGTGAACCTATATACAGGCAGCCCACTTCCTCCCCATCCAATGGTATCCCTTGAGCAAGGTGCTGCTGGTGCAGTACTAGTATCCCTGGAAAGGCGCTCTTCGATCAGTCACGTGGCATAGACGCTACATGTGAGTTATCGATGGCCGTTTTAGACGTGTTTTGACTACTTTGTAAATGATTTTTTACCTCGCTATCTACTTTCTAAATTTCCAAGAAATCTTTTCGTAAGGAACTTTGGCCTCGGCTAGTTAGTAAAGTAATCTTACTATCTGGACTCTGATAGAGATAGCGCTAAGCTAAGTAGCGAGTCGAGATAATCGTTTATATAGCTTTTATTATGACGAATTATTTATTTATTTAGCTCTCTTAATCCTTTACGTTCTAAGTTTTCTAATTTAAGCTGTCTCGATCTTTTGAAACAATATTCATTACGAGAATTAACGAGCTTTATAAATCTAAGTACTATCGTTAGCTTATTCTTGAGATTAGGTGCGAGTCAGTCCTCTGACAGAAGAGGTCATCATTAAGGGGCTGACATCTCTATCTTTGGTTAGCTACTAGTTTCTACATATACGTCCTTTAGAATGATAGCCTTTCATCTCATCAACGCTCGGATGGTACCATGGCCTGGATGACCGACTCTAGAATAGACTAGACATGTGGTCAAAGGGGTACGTGTTTTCCTCCTGAAAAGAAAACCACTACTGGCTAATAAGTTTTGTGTATCGAACATTCTGGAATGCAGAAAGACCTGAATGGGTAAGTGTAGTTGCGCTTTTAGTAATGATAGCCCTCTAGCAGATGCACATCTGGAAGGCTGCAAAGATGCTTCGCCAATTGAATGCCGATTGCCGACCTAGTTTTGTTTGCACGAACATTGGTGGAATTGGGCTCTTACGTGAGTCATGTATTGCACATTGACATTGACATGATGTACAAGGCTGATCACCACCGAACTAGCCAGGGGAACAAGAGATCGTTACCGACCGCTTGTCGATGTCCATTGCTGTAAGCTTGGGCCGAGAACGCTCCGTCTGTTCTTCTTTCGTACAGCTATTCGTGCGCATAAGGAAGCAAGATCCTGCAGGGACCCATTGAGTCCTCAATTTTACCAGCAACTGCTCCGTAGGAAAGCCATATCAATAGGGTTGCATGGTACTAGTACGTGGGTGCGAGTGTCATGCAGGGCTATGCAGACGCACGGGTGTAACCCAATCTTCTGCGTTATTCGCGTGGTGCTGTTGTCAGCGATTGGCGCGGCTCCTGTGCGTTCTTTCTGCTAACGTAGATCTGCCAAAACAGCAGCGTCATGGAAATTTCTGCATGTGCTTAGAAGGTCCGAAACCATTCGAGATCCCATGGAGTAACACGTTGCCTTGCAAGTTCATGTATCAGCCAATGCACCCGTTCGTCGGGCCGCAATACCCACAAGCTCATCTACCATTCCATGCTTTCATGGCAAATGGTTCAGGTAGTAGCATAGCCTTCCTTGACTAATCGCCGAACCCTCTGGTACCCTACCTATACTGTCGCCAGAGGCCTTTGGTTCGTAAGGACAAGGAGCTGACTGCCCGCTACTGTGAGTGTGAAAGCCTCGCGAGCCCTACCTAGTTGGAATCAATTCATGCAGTCATCATGATCACCGGCTGGTTCAACGCTGCGAGGCAATAAAGACGGCTCCGTGTGCTGCAGAAATGGAACTACCCGCCACGTCAAATGAGAGAGTCGTGCATATGAAAGCGGCCTAGATTAATGGGGATAGACACATGTTCGATTTTGGGCGGATTTACCATCTACGGTTATCTATATCTCCCCAGCGCCGCATGCAACCTTATATTGATGTCAGACTCTACCTTACTCAAACGCCAATCAGACGCTGTGCATATATGAGGATTGAGGGCATCATCAAAAGCTACAACTCAGAATCTTGATTTAAGTTGCTCCGTTTTTGCCCTGCACCACACCAAAAGAAAAAGAAGAAACACACAAAAAAGAGGACTTTGGTAGAACTCGAAGCAACTTGATCTCAGGTCGTTCAGCACGGGCTTGGCGAAAGGTTTGATTGGTGTTTGTTATTTTCCTCAATCGTAGGTGCAGAGATAGTATGATTCTATTACAATCTAGTCACCTCGAGTTGAGGGTCATGATGGGGTGCAACCAATTGAGCTCAGGTCTTTCCGGTTTCCCGGCGAGGCCACTTGCATTGAAGGATGCCTTGGAATCTCAGCCTTCTGATGGAGGGTTTTATCTTGGTGAGGCGTACGTGGGATTCTGGCCAGATGCAAGCCTAAACCCCTCGTCTGACCTCACGCGTAAGGAAAGCGGTGGCACGTTCGCTTAAATCCCTTGCATCTTAGAAGGTAATAATGAATCTAGGCTCTGCAGATCTATTGCACAACAGGATATCAGCTTCTCTCAAGACGGCATGCAAGCAAAGCTGCTCATACAAGACCATCCTCTGACGGATTTTTGAAGGAAAAAGGGGGATTGAACCTGGAAGTGGCTGGTCTATGTCTTCTCACAACAACCATGGTATTTAAACCGAATGTGAGTCTGCGATGCATGTCTGCGATGCATGTCTTCAAGGCATCGCAGTGAGCGGAAATAACTCTAACTGGTAACCAGACGAGCTTGGAAGGGTTGTCTGGAATCCCTGCCGGCATACCGCCCCCTGGGATCAGTCCCAACTTCGTCAACCCTCAGACCTTGGCGCCAGCAATCCTCGCCGTCAGTATAGTAATGATGCTATGGACGATTGTGTTTGTGATCATCAGACTGTATACCAATTTCCACGCCCCACGAGGTTTAGGTATCGATGATTGTAAGACCTGGATCTTTCACCCGAGTCATCCAAACAACTGATGGTTATAGACTTCTCCATCATCGCGATAGCACTAGCTACAGCGTCTACGGGGTTAATATTCTCAAGTAAGTTGATCTGTGTTAGTTGAGAATGACTGGAACTTAAATCTGGTACAGTAAACAGAATGGCGAGGCATATCTTCGATATTCCAATTGACTGGGTGGATGGAGACTACCTCAAAGTAATGAAGATAACCAAAATAACCCTCAATCTATAACGAGATCATGGACTAAAAAGGGGTAGCGAAGCTATGCCCTGAACGTAATAGTTGGGCCTACAATATTCTTTGCCAAGAGTACAATATTCCTACTCTATCTCCGGGTCTTTGCAATAAAGAAACAGATGAAGTATGGCGTCTGGCTTGGACTAGTCTGGAGTTTCTTGCTTTACTGGATCGGTGTTCCGCTCGAGACCTATTTTTGCGCGCCACGCATTGGGAAAGGGTGGAATATTGAAGCTCTTAACAAAACTTGCTCCGACTACGAAATATTCAGCGTGGTTCAGGGCGTTCTGGCAGTCGTCTTGGATCTCTATATCTTCGTTCTGCCAATCCCGACCATTCTAAGACTACAGATGGCACTGAAAAGGAAATTGTCGATCCTCGCTATCTTTGGGACTGCTATTCTGTGGGTACTCCAAACGAAGTGCAATCTCGCAATATCTGACTTGATCATAGGGGCATCACCGCGGCAGTCGTAGCAATGGTATACCGAATAAATCTCAGTAAAAGCAATGATCCGTTTTGGGCAAATGCGGCTGTTTACATCTGCCTGTGAGTCACTGGTGTGGGTCTGTCAGTTGTTCTATAGCTTACGCTCAACCAGTACCTGCGAGAGTTACGTCGCGATAGTTATTGGCTCAATGCCAGCATTCGCGTCTTTCTTCAAAGGCGAGATGCCTGGTGCGTCTTGGCTGACCGGCATGAACTCCCTCGTGAGATCTAACACGGGGACACTTTCTTCTGGAGGGTCCATGATTCCCGGCGGCCATACGCGCGAAAAGGGCTATCATGAGTTGGGATCAGTGAGGACCGATATTCGGGGGGAGGGTGCCGCGCCGAGGACTCTCGACGAGGGCGTTGTTTACAAGACCGTTGCCGTTCACCAGTCGATGAGGCAAGGGCGACCGGCTGCCTAGGGTGAGAAAATGGCTTTCCTTGCAATATGCCCCGTGCTTGTTCACATGAGATGCAAAGGAACTATCGCTCAGAGAAGAAAGTCGCCGGCATGAAAGAGGCATACATGGCATCGTGTCGCGCATCTATCGTTCACCTAGAATATTTCGACAGTCCAACGTTGCAAGATCGCACAAAGCACCCAAGTCAGGTGAACCAAAAATAAATATGTGTTTTATGATTGTGGGCTAGAGTCACTACCAAACGTCTTCTCCAGGTCATTTTCACGAGTCGCCGATGCGTACTATGCGCTGGGACTCTGCCCGAGTCCATCCATGAAGCTGCCTCCCTACCAGTCTCAATGATGCCAATTTGCTACATCAGTGTCCGTCTCCCCAACGTCTGTAATCCACAATGTCTATCTCGGTTCGCACGTATGTTCTGCAGAAATCTGCAGGCAGCGGAACTTGGCGCCAACTAGGGTCCCGCTGGGAACCATCTATGATGTTCTCCTCGAGCAAGCATGGATACTCTCCCGAAAAGGCCATCGAAGCGCCTTTTCACTTCTCGCATTTCCGGACTCTGAAATGCTTTGGCAGGAGGTATTTGGTGGTGCCATATGGTGTTTTCAGGATCGTGGTCTCACTCCTCGTATACCACTCCATGAATCGAGGCTGTCTCAGTATCCAGTACACGGCCGTGGAAGGGATGCAGCAGCATGTATGCTTCAAGTATGGACCCGGGAAGTGTAGGACCATAGATCTCGACAGTACGCTGGGCTTGATGTGAGATAACGCTGATAGGGGAGTCAATAATGGGTTGCTTATATCGTCGTTCAAGGTGTATTCTTTTAGTCTATCGAGGTTATTGTGGTGCTATTCTTACACAGCATCAATTACTCCGTACAGGCTATGGGCGGGAGCAATTGGAGATGGAATTGATAAATCAAGTCTGTTATTATGTTCTGATGAGGCTATGGACAAGGGAGGATCACTGACTTGTCCCCAAGACAACGAGCAACAAAATCTCTACCAAGAGTCTCAGTGATCCCCATTGACATGGCCATTCCCATTTGTCAATCCGTCCAGCTCTTCCATCTTCGTTCTGTACATATCCTGCGCCTCCTTTTCCCTCTTTTTTACAAAAGCCACTTCGTCTTGCAAAGACTCTAACCTCCTAGGCAGCGCGGCTTCCTCCGCAATCTGCAACGTCCGCAACGAGTCTAATTGGACTCTCTCATCCTGCAATGCCCCAGAAGCCTCCACGATCTTCTGCCGTAGAGTCTTAGCTCGCTGCTGGTAGCCTCCGTAGTGGAGAGCAAGTTTCTTCTCCAACCTATTACCCTTTTCTGCATCATCCCCAATGGTTGCTTGAACCTGATCGAAAGCATCGGTCAAGATTTGTCGCTCGTCGACCTCATCCTCTTCATAACCAGCCAGTCCGAGTAGATTTGAGGTAGCCTCATGCAGCTTCTCCCACGATGCTTCAAAATCCTGCTGGCGTCTCTCTTTATCGCCTGATGGCAGTTCAAGTGCTATTTCTAACCTCGCCCTGTCCAATGCATCATCATCGAAAACCTCTAGGGGTCTCGATGCTCCCTGTACTTTCGAAGCGGATAATGAATATTTGTATGCATCGTTAGCAATCAAAAGCGCACTCTCTTCTGCGATCATTGCGTGGACTGGATCGGAGACTTCCATGGCGGCCTTGAGAAGGGCATCGACATCGACGACTGTGGGCCGTGGTAAATTCTGTTGCATTACCTGAGTCCGGCGTTTGAAGTCTGCCCTCTCAGCTGCTTCACGGATAGCTTGGTTCCGTCGATCCCTTTCTGCGGCATCCTCTTCGGAGAGTTCCATCTCGCCGTCGAATTCTTGCTGCTCCTCAGGCAGTTCGAGCTCAAAGTCTAACTCTTTTGGCTTGGGCAATGCCGCGAACTGCGACTTGAGTTGTGATCTCAAAGCCTGCTCTCGAAGCTTGACTTCCCGTGGTGTGTTGCCAACTAGCTGCATTGCCCCAGGGTCATCTTGGTTTATGGCAAAGTTGTCTCGGGGAGTTCGCAAAGGCGTGGCTCCCGGGCCTCCTGGTGTCCGCATCGGCGTTGCTCCGACTCCGGTTGCACCACCTTGACGCATTGGCGTTGCCATAGGATTCGGGGTAGCTACAACGTGCTTCCGTGGAGTGACACCATCAAATCCAGTGGACCCACTGCCCTCATGCAAAGGCGTGTTCTCCCCACCCAATAGCGATGATTGCGTTTCAGTCAAGGCACGAATGTTGCGGATCTCGTTTGCTATATGGTCCTCTTGCGGCGGAGCTCTTGGTGTTCGAATCGGCGTTCCTCCTACAATGCCCGTATAGTTGCCGATGAATCCTTTTGTAGCCTCATTATCGCCTTCTCCAGCTAACCGATGGGCTTGTTCCCCAACCATTCCCATTTTCACGATGTCTTCGAGCTCTGCTTCGCCCACTTGCGGCGCTGGTAGATTCAAGGACCTCCTCTTGCTGCTTTGCTCGGCTTCTCGAATTTTCTGCATTTGCCCCGCTTTCGCTGCTGCGGCAAATGCTGCTGAAGGACCTGGCTTATCGCTTTTTTGTTTCTTCCTCTGCATATCATCTTCCTGATCACCCTTCCGCTTGTTAGCTAGCTGTTGTTTTCGGGGATCGAAAGCTTCTCTCTGCCTTTCGTTATGGTCTTTCTCCTCTTGGGTATCATAGAAACCTGGTGCAGCTTTCTTTTCGAATGGAATATCGGCGTTATAGTCCATTTGGCCCTTTTTCCGATTGGTGATCTTAATATTGATACCTGCATTTTTAAGCTCTCGACGCTTTTGTAGCAATGCCAGTCGCCGAGACTCCTCCAGCTGGCGTTCACGCGCTTTCCGCTTCGCCTTCTTTCCTTGTGTATTTGCCAGTCTTGCACGTGCTTCACTGAGCATCTCCTTTTCATCCTCATCAAGATCGATGGTGTCAGGGCGTGCTGGCTTAGATTCTGGGTCTGGGTCCAGTTCTCCAGGTCGTAATCGTCGAACATCGTCCGCACTCGGCGCTTCGTTCTCACCGCCAGCCGGCCCACCCAACCCCAACTCATCATTCTCTCTGGCCTCAGCCTCATCCAGTAGTTTCTGATATCTTTCTAGACATTGTGTAGCTGTCCTGCCAACCATAGGCGCAATAGTCCGCCATTGTGTTGGCATCAATTTTGCCAGGTGTAGCAGCTTTTCGTCCTCCTCCTTCGACCACTCAATTTTCCGGATGCTGGGATCCAGCCATTCGACCCATCTTGCCTTGCACTGCTTGGGTGTTTTGCGCGCGAGGAGAGAGGAGACACGGGCCCACTGGTTGAGTCCATATTTCGAGACAGAAGCCTTGAGGACCTCATCTTCAATATTTGTCCAGACACCGCCTTTCACGACAGGCATTCTGAAGGGACGAGAAGAGTTTTACGCGGTAGAGATTGTTGATGTGCAAGGTCAAGCGGTGACTGCAGTGTTGAAGTCGTGAAGTGACAAAAAGATCAAGGGTCCTTCAGACCTTCAGCCTTATCCCTAATTGCATAATCCTTGAGAAAGAAAAAAATTTCCCACAGTTCTGGCACACCCCAAAATCAAAAATCGAAATCTTAATTATTCTTATATAGATTCACAACCACAATTAATTATAGTCTAAGAATTATAAAATATATACTTTATATATCTAAGTATTTATTATTAAAGTATCTAAAAAATTTAATTTATACAACGTAAGTAAAATAATAAAATATTGATTTGACATTGTCGAGGGTGCGCTGAAAAATTATGCCAAGGTTTTTTTTAAAAACCTCGGCTATTCTAAAGCTGTCAAGAGTACTTCGTAAAATTCGCGATTATTCTATTTTTACAATATAACGAATAATTTAAATCTTTTAAGAATTTTATAATCTAATCTACACTCTATTTATTAAATTTTGATAATTTTTTAGATCATAATCAATTGTGGTTGTGAACCTATACAGAAAAATTGAAATTTTTGATTTTTGATTTTGGGGTGTGCCAGAACTGTGGAAATTTTTTTCTTTCTCAAGGATTATGCAATCAGGGTTATGTGTAGGACTTACGCTATCAGCCCTAGGAGAACGACTTCGACGTCACTGACGAGGATGGATGTATTTTACGCCGGCAGCCATCATGATGCTCATCGAATATTTTTGTAATCCAAATCATGCTGCGCAAGGTCCCAGCAACCGTTGGCAGCCTCAGAAGCTCTCCGGCTCTCTCACTTCACTCCCGGCTCCGAATCCAACCTTCAAGATCTACCTCTACCAAATCCGCCGATCCTAAGGACGCAACCTCAGAAAACATAGTAAGTTGTCTACACACTTCATTGCTGATGGCCTCAGCTCAAAGCGCCAGGTCTCGAACAAAGATAGCCCCGAATCCGGCGCTGAAGCGCTCTCCAAGAAGAAAAAGACACAAGCTGAATTGGATGACGAGCTGCGTCAGAAGCTTGAGGCCATGTCCGGTGATGGCGGCGCAGCAGGGCTAGAACTTGAGGACGGGCAGCCAGTGAGCATGAAGAGGAGTGTAAAGAACAACATGTTTCGATACATCTGAGCACACGGGGCTAGGTCAATGATGCCACGATTGGACGCAGAGGGTCAGGACTGGACGGCCTTCGTCAATAATGGGTCACGCTCTAAAGTCCGTGAGATGCTGTGGAGGGGCATGTGTCACAATGGAGCCGGGGCAGAGCGAGGAAATTGCATGAATCGAGTAAATGTATTATTGGCCTGGGGGTGTACAAGCCTCAAATATGAGAACGCGTTCCTACAATTTTGTTATTGCCTGAGCTGCTTCTGTAAGAGCCCGACAGTATCATCACCCAGTATGCATCGTGATCAGTTGAGTCGACTATCCGCTGTCTTCGAGAGCACTCAAGCACCCGTACCAACCTTCAGATCCCATATCATTGACTAGCATCTGTTTTTATTGATTACCCTGCGCCCAACGTTTCCCCTACAGATGTGACTCAAATGAAAAGTAAAGTGCAAAGCGGCGTGCGGATGATGTTCGCTACATTACATTCACTCGTTAGTATGTCTGGAAGATTGGGTGGGTGCTGAAGAGGTGAGCAGAATTTGCAGATTACAGATTGGGACTTGAATTGAAACGCAGCCTTGGAGACTTTGATTGTCATGAGCTGGAAAGGTAGATGCGAAGGTGATGGAGTCGGATCAGAAAAAAGGGAAGGAGCGTGGAGATTGAGGCTACTTGATCATACTATACGATGCAAACCCTGTCCTTGACTGTAGCATCAGGTCTCCAAATGATTGAGGTGAAAGTGCCCTCAATAATACTCCCTTCGACCATACTCCATAGCATTGCCAGCGAAAGAGGCAATGGTGGCGGGTCAGCTCAGAGACGGCCCGAAGTGTTGCCGAGAGATCGTCAGCCTTACAACTGAATCCCAAGTTGCAGCCCAAAGGCCTTTTTGCATCTAGATTCTAGAAGGGCAGCTTCGTGCAAACTTTTCAGCAAAACATCGACGTCCATGTCCATTTCGATGTCAACGTCGATGAGAGTAAAGCCAAATCCTTCCAGATATTTGCTTCAAAGGACTTTTATGCCCATGAACAATCATTCGTGTTCGTAACGTAGAAGACCATAGCTCTTTGAACCAACGAGATGACTTCTCCAAGTCCTGCGAAACCAATCCGTCCAGGACGGCTATGGACCACCCGCAGCCGCTCCTCAATGTTCTCCTCTTCGGCACCATTGGCAGAGGCCTCTGTAGCAAAAGATTTGGAAGAAGAATCCGACAAAGATCCGGAGAATCCTATGGAGGAAGACGACATTTCCCACGACGACTCGGATTCAGACCTGGAAACCCTGCATCAAACAACGTCCGGCCCATCCTTAGGCCGGTCCATGGTTGGCTCATATAGAAGACCCAGCTTTACAATAGCAGGCTCTCGGGCTACCATTGCCACTGGATTGCAAGGGTCAATGCGAGCTCCAAGCAAGAACGATCGCCGTGAGGCAAGAAGGGAAGAGCGAAGTTTACTTCGTGACAACAACATCATCCCGCCAAAACACCCTCGGAAAGGAGAGGGTTCTCAGACAATTGGCCGCCGAGCCTCCCGACTTCTCTCCGTGCCCGGCATCCTAGATGAGGGTAAGAAGGTCAAGCGGCCAGACCAGGTGGATGAGACAGCAGCAGGAGACAGCACCAGTCCCCGAGAAACGAGTCCCCTATTGGGAGATCCCGAGCTGCCATATGGAGGTCAAGATACTCATGCGAACCTTGACATCAAATGGGACGAAGCAGTATTAGAAGGCAAGATTCAGACGACGTGGCAGCGTGAAGCCAAAGTATTGGGACGTTATTCGGGGCCGTTGGTGCTTACATTCATGCTTCAGTACTCCTTGACCGTTGCCAGCATATTTACGGTAGGTCACATTGGGAAGGTCGAGCTTGGAGCAGTAAGCCTGGCAAGTATGACTGCCAATATCACCGGTTATGCAATTTACCAAGGATTAGCAACGAGTTTAGACACCCTTTGTGCGCAAGCGTACGGATCTGGGAGAAAAAAATTGGTGGGGTTACAGACGCAACGAATGGTCTACTTTCTATGGACGATCACGATCCCCATAGGCATCATCTGGCTCTGTGCTGACAAAATCCTGATGAAGGTAGTGCCCGAGAAAGACGTGGCAATCCTGGCTGGACGGTACTTGAAGATCGTTCTCATTGGAGCCCCTGGCTATGCGACCTTTGAGTCAGCCAAAAGATATTTGCAGGCACAGGGATTGTTTTCTGCTTCTCTTTACGTTCTTCTGATTTGCGCTCCCTTGAATGCCTTGATGAATTGGCTTTTCGTTTGGGTATGTCCCCCAAATCACTTTACCTGCAGTATGATTCTCATCCTTAACAATTATCAAACTCCTCCAAGCTCTCCTGTTCACTTTCGATCACATTTCTGGTCTGGTTTTACATGAAAAATCGGCGTCTGACGTCCTCAGCAATTCAACTGGGGCTTCAACGGTGCACCGATAGCTGTTGCCGTAACAGACAATCTACTTCCTATTCTCCTCATCCTCTACATCCGTTTCGTAGCCGGGGGTAACTGCTGGCCCGGCCTGACAAGAAGAGGTGACTTCTCCTCTCAAACAAAGCCCTCTTTCAGATTCCACCGAATGAAAATCCTCTCCTAACATTCAAATTTCACTCAGCCCTCCACAACTGGCTTCCCATGATCCGCCTCGCCCTCCCCGGCCTCGTAATGGTGGAAGCCGAATGCCTCGCCTTCGAAATCCTGACTCTCGCCGCCTCCTATTTCGGCACCAGCCACCTCGCTGCCCAGTCAGTCCTTGCCACCATCACATCCTTCACATTTCAGTACGTATTTTTGTAGTCCATAACCCCTCGCTTGGACCAAACCTTGGGTCTTCAGACATGTGTTGGGAGTTTTCCTCTCGGAACAATATGTTCCAAAGCTCGACGTCACACCCCCCAAACTAAACAATACTGATGGCGACATTGTGACCCAGAATCCCCTTCCCCATCTCCATCGCCGCATCCACGCGAATCGCAAACCTGATAGGCGCAACGCTGGCCGACGCCGCGAAAATCAGCGCGAGGGTGGCCGGGTTCGCGGCGATCGCCGTGGGCGTCTTCAACGTGGTCCTCCTGTCGAGTTTGAGGAACCACATACCCCAGCTTTTCACGAGTGATCCGGATGTTATCGACTTGGTCGCCAAGATACTGCCGTTGTGTGCCGCGTTTCAGCTTTTCGACGCGCTGGCCGCTTGCTGCAATGGCGTTCTGCGCGGCTTGGGGAGGCAGGAAGTGGGAGGGTATGTGCAGCTGTTCTGCTACTATGTGGTGGCTATGCCGATCAGTATGGGCACCGCGTTCGGATTGGGGTGGCAGCTGTATGGTCTCTGGGCTGGTGTGGCGATAGCGTTGGGATTGGTGGGCGTCATCGAGGGGGTTTTCCTGTCGAGGGTCAATTGGGAGAGGAGTGTGGAGGATGCAAGGAGCCGGAACGAGAGATCGTGAATGGGGTGGCGGGAGGGACGAGGAGTCCAGCGTACAGATGTGTATAGGCTGGGCAAAATCGGGGAACTTATGGATGGGCTGGATGGAAATCTGCTTCCAAATGCAATGCAGTTTGACACTATGCGGATTCCGATGCTAACGAAAGATCATCGTGGGACGTAGGAGCCATGATGCGCTTGTGGGAAACCTTGAAGAGCTGCTTGACTGGGGCTCCTTCGATGCACGCTTCTATTTTGTACAAAGTAGCGCTTTGCTAGCATATCATGATTAGGCGTGGCCGCTCGACCATCTATCTATCCCTCTTCCCATGCGGGATTCTGAGGAAATGTCAGTCCGCTTCTGGCTGAAAAATCAGGGGTCGGAATCCCTTACCTTTCTCAAAATAACAAGACCCTCCAAATTGCTCGCCAGACTGATATACTGCTCGTCCTCCAACTCCGCCCTCTCTCCATATGCCAGCAGCACCGGCGTACTTTGCGTCTGCCACCCTGTAATGGTCTTCGGTCGACCTGCCTGTCCTACCACATCCACAGCCTGACCGACTCGTACGTTCACCTGTAAGGGCTTCAAGTCCTCGTCCAGCGTTACTAAGAATCTCGGATGCATAGCGGTGACAATAAAGTAAAGCAGGTAATGAGAATCGGCGAGGATAAACGACTTGGCATCGATCATAGCCACCAGGACGGTCAGCAGACCGGCAGCCGCGACGCGCGAGAGGATCTGTCGGTCAGTGTGGAAAGGATTTATGGACATTGTACCCTTGCCCATGTGTAGAAGACCTTGCGCTATTCGGACCATGAACAACGAGTTCTGATCTCGGTGGTAGTAGCTTGCAAGTTGTCTCAGTAGCTGGGCCAATCTTGCGTTGTTGGTACCTGCTCCGAGGAGACCCATTGCAAATATGGCGTTGATTGCCACGTCATTGTCATTGTCGTGGGTATATCTTGAAAGTGTGTCGTAGACCTTCATCTGTGGATTACTTGGGCTGATGAGACCCATCGCGAGTGGGACTGCTTTTCGTATGTTGGCTTCCCCATAGTGCATGAGATGGCCAAACTGTCGTAGGACCATCTCTTGGCCTACCTCTTCACCCATTGAAATCAGTGATAGACCGAGCACGGCATATGTTTGGATGAGCTCGTCTCCCTTCTTGTCATCGCCATCTTCGATGTGCTCGTTGCAAAGGTGAAGCAGCTCTTGCAACTTCAGTACCGTCCCTGTACCTGCCCATGCACAGACTTCCGCGAGGACTGCTGCGGGCTTTGCCATTGGGTGTTCGATAGCCTTGAGAGTCTCCAGAATAACCTCTACTTCTTCCTGGCGGCCAAAAAACAGTAAGGCAAGTCCCAGCGACATGAAACGTGTCCACTTGTCCTTCAATTGCTTTTGTCGCTCCTCGTCTAAAAGCGTAGTAATGATGGCCTCACTGACTCGGTCATTTGACGATCCGACGAAGATAAGACCAAGAGATAGTGCTGCCATAGCTGAGATTTGCATATCCAGTGACGTATCTTCGACTATGGGAAGAAGCAACTCCAAAAGCTCCTCTTTGTTGGTGTTTGCATAAGCCAGCCCAAGGCCCATGATTGAGCCCATTCGTATCAGTACACTCTTGGCTCCGAGGGTTTCCTCGACGCCGAGGAGAGAAATAGATGAGTCGGTTTCATCGCGTATGCCTGAATTCATAATTCCAACCGCGAGGAACGCACCGGCTTTGATATTGTCGTCCTCCGCTAAGAGGAATGGGTTGACTTGTTCCAACCCGTCAGTACCTTCCCACTGTAGCAGCATTCCCATTGATGCTGCTGTGGCCATCATGCCATCATCCTTCGTTTTCCAGACCCAGTTCGTCTTTTCGCCCTCAATCAGCATCATTTTGTCCTTGCCGAACCCTGCGTTGGTAAAGGCATTGACGAAGGCACTGGCGAGATTGTGTCTGTACGAGTCAATATTTGTAAGGCCTGCTGTTCGAGTGCTTTCCAGATGGCTTTTGTAGATTTCTTCAGGCATTTTGGGCTCAAGGATGTTCAGTTCCTTCGCCAGTGTCTTGAAGTAATCTGGAAGTTTGGCATTGGTAAGACACGCTGCCAGCTCTTCATCCGTTTCCGCTCCTAGGGAAGGCTCGAGCCAGATCTGCTGTCGAGCAACCAAAAGTGCCATTTGCTTTTTGAGTGCTAGGTCTTTGGTCGATTCAAAGTCTTGGTGGATGAGGTCGGTATCATTTAATCGGATTGCAAGTACCGTTGCTTGTGGGAGTTTGTTGTAGGATGTGTAGATGTCGTGGGCGGTCCTTAGGAATTGTTGGTCTTCAGGGTATGTCAGGAGATTCACCATGCTGACCATATAAAGGCAGACCCTCGGATAGGTATTTTCATCCAGATACTGCGGGATCTCCTGAATCCTCTCAAGCTCACTCAAGATATCCACGGCGTCGGCTTCAGCATTGTGACTCAGAAAATATGGTACAAGCGTCCTTGCGAGCTCGACCAGATCTTGGGCATCCTCGTCGTCCGTCATTCTTCGCTGATAATCCTGGCCAATCTCGAGTGCCAGATGCCGGACATATTCGTGGCCCCAGGAGCCCAGGTCCTCCGAAGGCGCAAGCAGACGGTACTTAAGGGTGTCCAACTTTTCCTCATCTCCTTGCGTCATACCGAGCACTGAAAGGACATCTGCAAGATGTTCCTTATCCTTGCCTTCCGGCCATTGCTCGAAGGTTTTAGTCAGGTCTTCATAATGAGGTCGGAGGAATTTCAGCGGCTTTGGTACAGCTGTCATAGACGACGTCGAGGTTTTTATGAAATCTTTGATGGCATCAAGCGCAGGTATGTAGAGGCTGGTATCTGACTCCTACAAAAATACATCGATCAGCATAAGGGTACATGGACTATAGAAGTCATAACTGTAGATATACTTACATGTAGACGAGCGACCAGCATCTCCAGCTCATTTTTCAGATTTTGATCCTCTTCATTTAATTCCTCTGTTTGCACAGATCTGGTCAGCAAGGTTCCATCCGGGCACTTTGTAAGACAGCATACCTTCCAAAGGCTCATCGCCTGGCTTGCCGTTTGCTATGGGCTTGCCATCCTTGTCCTTCTTTGTGTCATCTTGTTTTTTGGGACTATCTGAAGGCTTCTCGTCCTCCATCTTGCCCTTTCCCTTCTCAGCAGCTGTCGGGGCTCCATTCTCTTTTGCCATGCTCGCCGCTGGCGAACAGAGTTTCTGGGCGTGTTATTTGCCGAAGCAGATCGAAGACTAGGGCAGCTTCAAACGTGAATGGATCTCGGAAGGATAATAAGAGGTGCCACCCAAACCGATATGAGAAAGAATCCTCAATGAAGTAGCTCACAGATGCAGGTAAGGTATTGATTATGGTAGCGCGTTGAAGCTCCGGAGGCGATCTTCAGCCGCCGCCAAGGCCGAACTTCTGGCCGTAGCACACAATAACCATTCTACCACAATTCACACTCCCAGGCCAATCCTCTACAGAGTCGCCCACCATGAAGCTCGACACCAAAGCCCTCCGCTACCTCACCACAGAGGACTGGCGAGTCCTCACCGCCGTACGTCAATCTCCTCGCCCCTCAGCTCTCAACAACCAGGACTAACAGCTGACCAGACACGCCTAGGTGGAAATGGGCAGCAAAAACCACGAGATAGTCCCCACGCCCTTAATCACCCAACTCTCGGGCCTACGCGGTGGAAGCGGGGTTCACAAGTGCATCTCAACGCTCGCAAAGGCCAATCTCATTGCTAGGATGAAGAACGCGAAATGTGATTTACACCCAAGTCTCAAGGTTCAGAGGCTCTACTGACACCCACCAGACGACGGGTACCGTCTCACCTACGGCGGCCTTGACTATCTCGCCCTGCACACACATCTCAAACGGCAAACTTTGTACTCGACCGGCAACTGCATCGGCGTGGGCAAAGAATCCGACATCTACGTCGTAGCCTCCTCCACCGGCAGGCAATTTGTTCTGAAAATCCACCGCCTGGGCCGCATATCCTTCCGCAGCATCAAGAACAACCGTGACTACCTCAGGCACCGCAGCAACGCGAGCTGGATGTACATGAGCCGGCTGTCCGCGCTCAAGGAGTTTACGTTCATGAAGGTCCTGAGGGAGAACGGCTTTAGGGTGCCAGAGCCTGTGGCGCAGAGTAGGCATACGGTGGTGATGGAGTTGATTGATGCTTTTCCTCTGAGGCAAATACAAGAGGTGCCGAATCCGGCTGGCTTATATGCGGAATTGATTGACATTGTGCTACGCCTGGCGAGCTTTGGGTTGATACATGGGGACTTCAACGAGTTTAATATCCTGATACGAGAGGATGAGATACCGGCTGTTGAAACATCTGGCGACACCAAGACAGATATACCAGACTCCAAGCCAGCCATCACACTTACGCCCGTCATAATTGACTTCCCCCAAATGGTCTCCATCGACCATACAAATGCCGAAATGTACTTCGACCGTGATATCAACTGTATCAAACGTTTTTTCGAGAGGCGGTTCAACTTTGTGAGCGACGAGCCGGGCCCTTTTTTTGCTGATGCAAAAATGCTCGCTGGTGCCCCCAAAGGCAAAAGATTAGACGTTGAGGTTGAGGCCTCAGGCTTCTCTAAGAAGATGGCGAAAGAATTGGAGAAGTATATGCAGGAAGTCGGCGTGGAAGGAGATGTCAGTTATGAAGGAAGCGGTCACACCGGGGAAGGTGACTCTGATGCTTCTGGCACTTCTTCGGGTGCAGAAGAGTCGTCTGACGACTTATCTCAAGACTTAAGAGGTAGTGATGGTAATGATGGCCTTTTCAAGCCCAGTAATGAAGTTGAGTCCGAAGCGTCTCACAAAGAGTCAAATGCTCTAGCTACTAACGCCGCTGCGGTAACATTAGAGGAAAACAAATGAATATCTCAGGAATACGATTCACACAAGTGCATGTTTAGTCATTGTTTGAGAGCGAAAGAGCCAACGTTCATGAGAGCTAATGCTAATCTATAGTTTGGTGAAGCTGAAGCAACCTCAACGAGAGGAACGCGTCAGGAAACAGAAGTCACACTTGATCCTCCAATCACCTGCTCGTCCGAAGACCATAAAATGACGCCCGGGGGATATGCCGCTGAAATGCTTGAGGAGACCACCCATCGTAAGAACATGTTGGTTGAGCCGGCCAAGGCCACATCGCGTGCCAAGATTGATGTAAGGCTAAGGATTCTGATATTAGTCGTAATGCTGAATTGAGGTAGGAGACTTGCTGAGAAGCGGATCGTGCCAAAGAAACGTTTTCGTATCCTCAAGGACTTTTAGACGTGATGCATGTTGCTGTCGTAATGGTAGTATCAGTTGCGAAATGGTCATCAACCGGTGACCAGAGAAGAGTACAATGAGATACTGTCTGATGAATGGCATACAGGCGGCGCTGGGCGTGGTTACCGTGGACGATTCCCTGATAAAAGCAGCATGGCTCAGAGTTTGGACTTGGTTGGCGACGAGGGGATGTCGCCACCGGTGCCACTGCAAGTCTTGCTGGATTTAGATTTGCAGACTAGGGTGTCTTCATCCGATGTCGAGGATGATTCGCCATCAGGCGATTCATCCTCGACGACCTCGGCAGCTGCTTTCTTGGCTGCGGCTACAACACTGGGACTCTCGATCTTGATGTGAGTGGTGCGACGCACTGGAGCTGGGCCTTCGAACTTGACCGCGGCATTGGGAAGCAACCCGTTGGTACCTTGGCGGCCATTGAGTACTGAGTTTGGATATCCAACATAACTTGTAAGTATTAGTATCAATGCTGATTACAAGAGGGAAGGCAGAAAATTTACGCTGGCGAGATTGAGGAAGCTGACGACTGGTTGCTCCATGCTCCACTTGTCCCAGGTGGACGTACTGGCACAGGGCTTTGGAAGGTAGCCGAGACGGGAGAGTAGAACCCGTAAGGCGAGCCTGGTCCGTAGACGGCTTCATTGTACTCGTTCGTCTTGAACTGGCGTCTCTCCGCCGTACAAGTCTTGAGCTGTTTCTGCTTCTCGGTATCGGCATAGCGAATCTGCAATTCGGTGGCATGCTTCCCTTCGCCGACGGTCATGTTGTTGAAGGTGCGAATGACATGTTCGCAGATCTCCGGTGACTCGAATCTGGACTTTTGTGAGCGTGCAAGTGCTACGAACGGTCTGGGTACATACCGAGCAAACCCAACCCCACGGCTGATGCCATTCCCATCCTTCAAAATCCGCTGTTCTAGAATGTGATAGTCCGGATACACGTTCTTGAACAAGTTCTCGAAATCCTGTAGCCAGAGTTAGAACGCGTCATTCAAATCTCTCTGGTCAGAAAAGCGGTACTGACCTTGTCATTCCAAAGTCTGGGCAGATTCGAGACGTATAAGTTGTTATTTTTGGGATCGGCTAGTTCCTTGAGCCGTGCATTGTGGGATTGCTGGAGTCGGGTCAGCAATGAGACAGACATTGACCAGAGGGACGCTATGTACCCTCGCAAACTTCGCCTCGTACCCGAGGTAGAAGAACGCACGAATGCAGTTTTCGGCGTCGAAGTAGCTGTTGTATTTGATGAACCCGAATCTGCATCCGATGTCAGCGTTCTTCTTGATACTCCATGGGTTTGACCATAGAATGTGCGTGCTGTACCCTTTGCAAGTGTTATTGGACATGTCGATGATTGCCTTTTGGCTCACGATCTCTCCAAAGCGGCGGCCGTAATCCGCAAGCAATTCGTCGGTTGTATCAGGGCGGAGACCACGAACGTAGACGTTAGTTGTCCCATCTCGATTGTCTAGGATCTTGTCGAGGCTACCGCGCCCACCATCAGGCCCGCTTCGCCATGCAGGGATTGGGGTAGGGATGGCTGGATCCGCTTGCGTCCATACCCAGAAATCGGCGATGGCGTACTCGCCATTCGGCTGTCTGCATATCTGTTGGTTGTTTGGGAGCTGTCCTGAGAGCGGTGAAGGGTTTGTGCTCCAATCACTGGGAGAGTGTCCCGAGACAAGGATGGCTGGCTGATAGCCGTCAACGGGCGTCTGTGGGCTCAGCTCTTCGGTTGATGACCAAGAAGTACGGCGAGGCGCTACAAGGTCGGGCACATGGGGCAAATTCTGGGAAGGCATCCAAGAGTAGTTTCGAGGCGTGTGTGGCCCGATTGGTGCACCAGTAGAAGGGATACCTTGGTAAGTTGCTTGCTGATATTGGGTGGGATGCGTCACGGCCATGTTGTACGGAGCAGGATACTGGGGGTAATTGCCTTGAACAGCATTGGGGCCAGCAAACATGTAGGTGCCGTCTGGGAGCTGGTAGAGCATGGAAGTCATGTTTGACTCGCCCATTTGCATTCCCGTGTTGCTCGGCTTAGCTTGTCCCATCTGGGCTCCATTGCGGAGGTTGAGGTTCTCGAAGGCTCCAGCGAGATTATCCAGTCCGGAACTGGTATTATCAAGATGCATGTTCGCCATAGGATTTGGAGCAAGAGGCTGTCCGGAAAATGGGGCGTGCATGTTGCCATATAGGTTCTGGCCTGGAGCCAATGTCTGGCCGGAGAGAGTGGCAGGCATATTGCCGTAGTAAGTACCTGCATTAAGAAAAAGAGTAAGCCTGGTGTACTCTTCGAAACAGTGTAGGGTTGAATAAAAGATGCAGCCATGTACAGATGTTCAAGTAGAGACAGACGCTTGTCTTGGCGGCTGGGGTGTACCCTTGGTCTCTCTGACATGCTCAATGGTAGAGCTGGCAGGTGGCTAGACAAGAGAAGGGAAGTGATGAAGGACTTTCACGGACAATCGTAGTATACATGGAGGGCGGGAAAGAAGTAATCTATGCCGGCAGACTTACGAGACATGTTCTTCTGCATTGTTGAGAGAAATGGCTCAGACTTGGTATGGCTATTCCGTGGAAGCCTGCAGCAACTACTGCCCATCAGCATGGTGTGAAGGCAGTGCTGAGAGAGGCCACTCACAGTGATGCCGAGGATATGCTCCAGGTAGAGTACAGCAAATGGTGAAGAAGTAGACGCTGTAGAGGACACTGTGAGGTGTATGAGCAGCTTGTCATGAGCGTAGAAGAGGATGCAGTGATCTTACAGAGAGTGTTTGGATGGTGACGGAGATGAGTAGCAAGGTGGATACGATGTGAGCAAAAGGTACGGAGAATACAGAGAGTATGGACAAGCTATTTGCCAATAATTGAGATGGATGTGCAAAGAGCTGTAGCGGATGATGGGAGAAAGAATTGAGAGGACATAGAGAGAAAGAGAAAAGAAGAGTTGGGTGGGGAAGGTGCTTGTGTAAATAAGACTAAGCTAAGAAGGTAACCGCCAGAGAGACAAGATATTGTTCGAGGAAGGAACTCTCTAGGAAGGCAGAACACGGCAGGTCGCCTTGTCAACGATGACTCTTTTGGGGTTATCAACTGCAATGACAACCGACCTCGCCATTTTGTTTGCAGTCATGAAGCATGAAGCACGAAGCAACCTCGATATGCGCAATGGAACAGAAGCTACGTTTTTAAGGGAACAACATGACCCTCGGGGAGCCCAGGAGAAATTTCAGATGCATGCATAACATAAGAGGAACCTTATTTGTGAGCATAATGCTGATATTTCCACTTCTCTTCTGTTACGTCAATGTGAGAGTTGAGCTTTTGATGCCTTATTTTGCATCGTTGAAGAAAACAAGAGGTACGCTTAAAGCCTCACCGTATGCAGACTTGAGCCTCTTTCCTGCAGCCTTACGGTCTGTGATAAAGCTGTATTCATAAGTCAAATCGAGCGTGAAGTACAGTTCGAGCTGCCGCGACACAATTTGTTTCAATTCCGTGATCTGCTATGGGTGGCTTCCGCTCGAGATCTACTCGGCCATCGGACGGGGAGTACGAATACAACGGGGTGACAGGGGTGGTCGATGACAGCACAGAGCCAAAACGGATCCCTTGCAGCACGGTCTATGATTAGATCTGATGTCCAAAGTGCCTCTTACACCGTTCAACTGGGCTCATTGGCTCTCCACTTCCACTAATTGATGGCAAGTCGAATTAATCATTCAGCCTGGAATGTCTCATTACAACCATCATGAGTCCGATCACGGCCGCGTTAGTACTGTATGTATCTCCTGCTGAGATTGAAGGCCGAGGAGGCATGAACACTGCGAATAAAGCATCAAGCCCTTAAGCCTCGAGGATTGTCGGGAGAGCGCTAAGCGCGGCGATTCTAGCAATTTGCTTGGTTCATCGGCCGCCGCGACAAGATCCCTACTCTGCAATAACCACCATCAAAGAGGCTTTGAGTCTCTTAACAGGTCTTGACAACGTTGTCGTTGGCAATGCGTTGTTAGCTGATACGCTATTCTTATTATAGTGGGATCGGAGACTTCTCCGCAAGCGAGCTTGCCAGCTCACTCTGCAATTGGGTTTCGTGAGGGTTTCATGCAATCTGCATCTTCCTCCGGGCATTGCCTAATAGCGACATTGCCGGGTGAGACGCTGGCTGATGTGTTTTCTCCGTGGCCTCCAACACAATACTTTGCTGGCCAATCAGGAAGTGGAATTTTGGAAAACCAATCTCACATGACCTCCCTTGCTGCGGTAGGGAAAGGCGCATGTCTCAGGAGCAGTCCCCAAGAAGCTCGGATAACATCGACTTCCACGACTGCACTCTTTCCCACCGCTACTTTCAACCTTCCCCGGTATCACAACTCTCCACAATGTTTATCCTCTTTGCTGGCCATATTTCACATAACCAACCCCGGCAGTATCCACGCTGCCAGAACAAAGCAACTCGGAACTGTCTGGGCGCGTATGATGTCCGATTTTTTTTTAGTATAATACTCTGTACTGCCAAAGGCCAGTAACGATTTTATGTTGCTTTCAATTCTGAAAAGATTAATATTGTAGCATCTAAAGGCCAGAAGACAAATCATTCTATAGCATTGACTGGCGTCTATGTAACAGTTTCTCACCGCGAGCCGATGTTAAACAAGTTCGTCAGTTCTCCATATACCCAGTCCCTTCCCTGCCTACGACCACACATCCTCCTGATACTGATTACTACTCCTCATCATTTTCACAATCTCTTCTCCTTTCTCAATGCTCACCCCTCTTTGCTCACTGACAATTTTCCCCAACACATCACTGACCGCTCTGGCCATATTAGATGCGTCTCCACAAACGTAAAAGTTTCCCTTCTCCTTCTCCAGCAGCTGATTGACGAGAGCGGCATTCTCCTGCAGACGCTGTTGTACGTAGACCTTTTCTCTCTGTTCGCGGGAGAAAGCCGTGATGAGTGTGAACGACGAGCCAAGAGCTTGTTTGTAGTGCTATCGAAAATCAGTATCCTTTCAACGAGCGCAGGGCAAAGGCAGTCGTATCTCACCTCCCACTCTTCCTTGTAGAGGAAGTCTTCAGAACTTTTCCTGCACCCATAGAACAAGATCGTCTGGCCAACCTTTTCACCCGCCTCTGCTTGAGCAGCCCTCTCCTGAATGAACCCCCGGAAAGGTGCAACGCCGGAGCCAGGGCCAATCATTATTATCGGCTTTGATGGGTCCGATGGGAGTTTGAAGTTCGAGTGACGGACGTGGACGGGGACGTGGCAGCCATTGTACTTGTTTCTTGGGCCAGTGATGGCATATGTCAAGCCATGCGGATCAGGATTCGGATCACCATGTTGCTTCTGTTTGAGAGCTAGCAGGTAATTTGTGGTAACGCCTTTGACAATGTTCTCGGATCCTGGAACGCGGATCGTCTCAACGACGGCGGTAATGGAAATCTTGTCTTTTTGAACCAACGACGAAGAGGAAATGGAATAATAGCGTGGTTGAATTTTGTGGATGCCTTCGATCATGATGGAGAAAGGAATGTTGCTCCACTTGTTGACACTGTCTACTTTCTCAAGCACTTGTGCAATGTTTAGGTATTGAGACGACACTTTGTCCGAGAAGTAATCTTTGTCATTGCCGAGCCTCGTCATTTCTGCTTTTGTCTGTTCGTTTGGCGCGAAGGGGGCGAGAGAGGAGACGAATTGCCGAGAGGCGGCACCGCATATTTCCATGTGGTAGCGGATTGCTGCGTCGTACGTTGTAGGTGTAGGGAAGGGTACTTTGGCTGTGGGATCGAGGCCCTTGACACTGATGACGCAGTGACGCTTTTCCGAGAGCCCAAGAACGTTGATCATCCTATCAACCTCTACGCCTGCATTGGTAGGCCATACGGCTATATGATCGCCAGTCTGGTAGGTCAGGTTTGAACCCTTAATGTCGATCTCCATGTGTAGACAGTTTCGATCTTTGACGGTGAAGACCTCCCTGGATTCCGCAATAGGCGCAATATATGGGTTGTGGGAATTGTAGGGGCCTTTCTGGCTGCCTTCGAGGTGATGTTTGTTCGGCTCGCCCAGGTATACCTCATCTGCGTTCGCGTCCAGGTCATCCCTCTCAGTGATGCTGAATACAGGCTCATAGACCGCTTCTCGCTCTTCAAGACCCATCTTCTCGGATAGCTCGGTCCACATAGGTTCTTTCCAAGCAAGGAAGTCTTCCTCCATTGTACCCGCACCGTCATCGCCTTCTCCAGCTGTACCGATTCTAGAAGCCCCAAGCTTGACCAAAGCATCGTTGACTCTGCGGACCATGGAATTGTAGTGTTCATATGTATTATTCCCAAGCCCAAAGGCGACAAATTTCAGATTTTGCAGCGGCTTTTCGTCCACGCCACCCCCATTGCTGAAGGACACATCTTCTTTGATCACGAATTCGTAAAAGTCCACGGCGTTGTCTGTGGGTTCGCCTTCGCCGTACGTGGCAAGGACAAACACTGCTAGCTTATCGTTGGGGAAAGTGTCGAGGTTCTCGTAATCGTAGTCTTCCAGATCCGCAACCATGGTTTTGAGGCCAAATCTTTGGGATCCCTCTTTGGATAACCTCGAAGCATAATCTTCTGCCGTGCCCGTTTGGGAGCCATAGAACACAACACAGTTCTTTTCCGACTCGTCCATCTTCTCCAGTATGTTTCTCGTCTTGCCTGCTTTCGCGCCATTGGCTGAGGAATAAGCTACCGCGTAGGGATCTTTCGGTATTCCCCAGTATGTTCCTTTAGTGAAGTATGCCACAGTGCCGGCCAGGAGGACGGCGAGGACAATTAGATCAAGAGTGTCGAGTTGCGCCATCTTCGTTGGTGTGAGTCTGCGATCACCTTCACCAGCGATGCTACTCTCCGAAGCCAATCAGCTGTTCTGTTGCTAGTGTAGGGCCGTAAAAAATACAAGAAAATTAGATTCGTGCTATGTGGCACATCAGCCGCAATGCTGGCTAAGGTACTTCTTCAGATTGCCCTGCAGGGCAGAAAGGTGGTATACAGGAGAAGAATCAGGAGGAAGTGTAAGTGGAGGGAGAGACAGACTGTCAAGACTGGGTCTTTGTCAGATCATGTAGTCAGATGGAGAAGCCACTTTTGGTTGGAGGCAATGGAGGTGTCATCCGTTTATTTAGATCTCCTCAGATCACCAAAATCACCGAAATGGTTCGGCGTTGATCTTTCCGGCGCCAAGGCGACCCTGCTTTGAGAG